CCTGCAGGTTCATGCTCTACAACATTCGCAGAGGACGACCCTACCTTACACAGAAAGCGGCACAGGTCCTAATCCAGGCACTTGTCATCTCCCGTCTGGATTACTGCAACTCGCTGTTGGCTGGGCTCCCTGCCTGTGCCATTAAACCCCTACAACTTATCCAGAACGCCGCAGCCCGACTTGTGTTCGACCTTCCCAAGTTATCTCATGTCACCCCGCTCCTCCGCACACTCCACTGACTTCCAGTTGAGGCTTGCATCTACCACAAGACCATGGTGCTTGCCTACAGAGCTGTGAGGGGAACGGCACCTCCTTACCTTCAGGCTCTGATCAGACCCTACACCCAAACGAGGGCACTACGTTCAACCACCTCTGGCCTGCTAGCTCCCCTACCTCTACGGAAGCACAGTTCCCGCTCAGCCCAGTCAAAGCTATTCGCGGCTCTGGCACCCCAATGGTGGAACAAGCTCCCCCACGACGCCAGGACAGCGGAGTCACTGACCACCTTCCGGAGACACTTGAAACCCTACCTCTTTAAGGAATACCTGGAATAGTATAAAGTAATCCTTCTATGTGTGAGAAGTGTGCAGAAGGGCATGAGACAAATGAATGTGTAGCATTGGGGAATGCTTCCATGACAACAGTGGGATAAACCAAGAAGTGATATAGGTTTCAGTAAGATTGGATTTTTAGCATTTATAGCAATGGTTATCAACTGTACTGCAGGGATGGAACGTAAGTCGCAGAAAATAGAGGTTGTGGTGGCAGCTGCAGAGAGGTATTTGGGTGTGCGAGACTTGACGTCAGAAGAGTTACAGGGTGTGTTTAGTGGTGGTGTCCCTTCCTTTCAGGCTGTTGGCCTGAAGTAGGAATAAATAGATTTAAATAGTGGAGTATGGTAGTTATTATTATAGTACTTTTTGTATTTTTATTTGTAAAAAATGTTTGTGAGTGTATTTTCTTTCAGCACAACTACGGCGACATGCACTCGTACGTGCGCACGTGCAAGCGACTCCAGGAGGAGGAGGCGGTGCATCGTATTATTAGATGGTAGGGTATTTGTTTTATTTTTTATTTTTTAAAGCAAAGTATAAGGGAGTTATACTCCAGTCTAGTAGGTGGCAGTAATGCAACATTTACTGGGTGCCAACCGCCGTTAAACCTCATTGAAGAAGAACATATTCATGCTTTGCGTATTCCTCTTTGATTTAGAAGATCTTGTTGCACAAACAACATGCTGATTTAGGTTGCACCATCCCTGGTATTATCAGGCTGTATAGCTAGTTACATTTGCTCAGACTCAGTACATGTATTAGCTAGCTAGCCAGCTAACTAGCGATTAGCATTAGCGGCTAACACGATTTAGGCCCAACTTGCTAAGAAAAGACTAACTAGCAATTTGCAGATGTAAGAAACACAAACTAATAGTGTAATTATAGAACGCTGGTGGATTTATATTAAGAAGCAAAGTGAAAACATAATCGTTGTAATCAACACTTTACCTTCTATAACATTGTTTGATTTGTTAAATGTGATATGCCGTGTGTAATGTCCATTTTTATAGTTTACTCCACTACTTGAGTCATCTGTCATCTCTCTCCACATGCCACTTTCCACACAGACCTAGCTCCTTGCGTTCAGTCTGCATCAAATCAAATCACTTTTTTTTTTTCACATGCGCCGAATACAACAGGTGTAGACCTTACCGTATAAGTAAGCATTTCACGGTAAAAACCTGTTCTATTCGGCGCATGTGACAAATAGAATTTGATTTGATTTGACAAACCAAACATTTAAATATTGTTATAGAAGGTAAAGTAAAAACTCAAACCGGTCTGTGCATCAATACCAGTAAAATACGGTATACGGCCCAGTCCTACCTTGAATGTGCCATTGTGGTGGCATAGTGAAAACCCCCAGAAATGAGTCCTCTTCCTCTCTATCCCATACAAATAGGGTGTAGGCCTAATTGAATTGGTCAGTAAAATCAGCTTGGAGGACAGGGTTTTTTCTGCATAGAAAAGTATTGGGCGGGCTGCCTAAGTGTTTTTTCGGGCCGCCTAGTCCAAACAGTACATGTAGAAAAACGTTTTTCCGTGTAAATGTAAACAACTAGGCTAAAACCAGATATAAATATGTAGAAAAGGACCTATATATTTTTTTGTAAGATCATCTTTGAGAACTAAAAATCACAAAAATAAAAGCTAGACAGTCAGAGAGAATCTAAAATTCCCATAATGATGCATTCAGGAGTATTTATGTTAAGGCATTGTGCCCCCATTGATTTTGTTAAAATTTTTGAGTCACTCAGATAGCATAAACCATAGCAAAATGTGTAGAATTCAGTGCCTAACATTAACTGTTTGGTCCACCTGGCTGTGGACCACTCAGATTTGTACCATGCCTTGTAATGTTTCTAAAACAATAAATGTATTACTAGTTAGAAGTAATGTGGTATATTGTTTAATTTCATTTTTTGTGACCTGAGTCTTTTAACCAAAATATCACAGATGAGACTTTAAGGGCGGAAAGTTACCGTGGTAACGCGACATGAGTCATGTTTGTGCCTGTGAGATTGAGAGTCTGACTAGTAGCTGCATTGTCTTCTCTTCCCTAACAGTTGAAACTCAAACATTGAAAAACAACCTAGCTTGTGAACAAAACAGTGTAAATAGCCAAGAAACACAATGACAAAGTCTCACTTCAATAGACTTTCCTTTCAAGTAAATTAGACCAACCTTTATACCTGTGCGCAGCGCTTCTCAAAATGAATCTTTCAGTCAGCTCTTCACGTACGTACAGCCCCAAGGCAGGAAGTGTTGCAGCGCGAGGTGGGATAGGCTATAGTATGATTCGTTGTTCTTTGACTTTGTGCGCTTAATTTACCAGCTATGAAACAAAACTGAATAAATACTTTGAAAACAGCTACTGCAGCATTTATTTAGCTATAAATGTGATCATACTTGACTATTTTGATTCACAAATGTGAGTGAAATGCTCGCACTGTGGAGCCCTGACCACCTGCCAACGTGGCTGGTGAAATACACATTTTACCCGCCAATGACAAAATCTACCCGCCTAATTTTAGGCTGTGGTAGAATTGCAGGAAATGTGCTTTAAAACAGCTACATTTGGCCACTGCCATGACCACCACTTTAGCCCCATTTTGATCCAGAAAAACCCTGGAGTAAAATGATGCCCCAGGGGGAGCACAGCACACCTCCAGCCAGGGGGCCCAGCCTTCTTATGGGTGATCTGGGGTAATCTGACTGATCATGGCTACTGGTCAATCCCACCTGTTGGCTTCAGGTCTCAGCTCTCCAGCCCTCTACTATGCTAATCTAATCTGGTTAATAATCCTCTCAGATTAAAAGACTGAGTGAGTCTTTGCTGTGGGCCATGTGATCAGTCTCTCTCCGTGTGTAGTGGTGGATAATGGTCTCCAGAGCTGGTGTTGAGTCCATGGTGCTTACGAAGAAGAATAGACTGCCTGTTGCAGGTTGCATCCCAAATGGCACCCTATTCTCTATATACTGCACTACTTTTGACCAGAGCCAATACTAAATAGGGAATAGGGTGCTATTTGTTCCCATCTTAGTCGAAAGGAGACACGCTCTTGCTGACAGTACACACAGTACAAGAACATCATTGGAGAGCCTGACCTTCAAATCCTATTTAAAAGAAATTAGCAAATTGGCCTTGCCTTGCTTGCTTATGAATTGTAGCAATTTAAAATCCCCCCTTGTTCATTACAGTCTCTGTGAACCCTGTGTTTCGCAGGTAGCCTAGCGGTTAAGAGTGTTGGGCCACTAATTGAAAGGTCGCTGGTTCAAATCCCCAAGCCAACTAGGTGAAGAATCTGTCGATGTGCCCTTGATCAAGGCACAACTCTAATTGCTCCTGTAAGTCACTCTGGATAAGAGTGTCTGCTAGAATCAAAAAATGTACTGTGTGTCAGTTAGCGTGCCAATGCTTTGCCTCCATGTGAGATTCAGAGTTGGCCATTAGGTGTCACCCTGCCCCTCAGTTTCCACAGAACTGTATTGTACGTGAGATACGGTTCTGTCCAGTCTTTAGTCATTCATTACTTGTTGTAGGCTACCTTTCTGTGATTGCGACTGAAAGTTGAAAATGTATTTTATTTAGGCCGATTTGAAATACCAGTTTCTTCATGTTATAGGCTGCATCCCAAATTGCACCCGATTCCCTAGAAAGTGTACTAATTTTGACCAGGGCCTATAGTGCAGGGCCCCATAGTGCACTACTTCTGTAGGGCTCTGGTCAAAAGTAGTGCACTATATAGGGAATAGGGTTCCATTTGGGACAGAGCCCTTGATTAACCATCTTCTGTCTATTACCATTGTAGAAGCATGATGTTACACTGACCGCCCGATATTTCCCTGTTTTACGACCTTATGGGTTATTCTGAGTGCATGAGTCATGAGTCTCCATGGGATTAGAAGGTGCTGAAAGACGTGTACCTGACCTTGAGACTGTGATAAAGGTCAGTAATGTAGCAGCATCAAAGGAGGCAAAGACACTTAATGAGTACATCTCTGTCTGTCCTTTTCAATTCTCCTCGCCCTCTGGGTAATGTCTGTGAGAAATATTCATGTGTGTGTGGGCGGGTGTGTGCCCTGAATGCCATTGTGGGGGATTGTGTGTGTGTGTGTGTGTGGGGGGGGGGGGGGAGGGGGGTTCTGTGTGTGTGTCCTCTGTGTCTGTATATGTCCTCTCTGTTTGTGTGCGCGTCGGGGTGCGCTCTTGGCTGGGCAAATGAAATATTCATGGTGGCGGGGGAATGGCTGCTAAGAGAGGAGCAGGCTGTCAGAGAGGAGCAGGTCTGTTTTAAGACAGGCAGCACTCTGCTTTCTCACTCCGTACAAACACAGACGAGCAGGCAACAGCAGTCCAGTATTCCAGTGTCTCAGTCAGAGTTCAGACACACACACACATACACACACACATACACGCTCACAGAAACACACACACACACACAGGGGAGATAACAGAGAGACAAAGCCGGCTAACGCCACAACTGCCTCGGCTGCCGCTGATGTTTTAGCCCCGATGGAGGGGAACCATGAAGGGGAGCATGTGCTGACGGTAAGTCTGCTCTGTGTGTTTGTTTTGTGTGCATGTGCGTGTGTGTGGATGTGTGTGTACGTGTGTGTGTCTTCTCCATCTCTGACATTGTCTTGCTGTACCGTAGAATAGTGGTTGTGGTTGCAGAATAGAATAGAGGGTGTTCTATTGGATGTAGCTCAGAGGGGGAGAGAGAGAGCGATAGGGGGAAGAGTCCCTGCCTGCCTCACCAACGAATGCCTCTTAGAAAGGAAATGGTCCTTCCAGCTCTTCACTAGCCCTGAGGAGCCGGAATGGGAGGAAATAAGACAGGAACAGATATGGCTGCTTTAAAGAGTGAACCCAGGAGGGAGAAGGGAGGGAGAGGAGGAGTGTGAGAGAGGAGTAGAGGAGGAAAATGGGGCAGCAGACTAGAGATAATTGAATCAAAACAAAACGGAGCATGCTCCTTTGATTAAAATGTATAGATTATGGATATGATGTTCATTGTTTATCTATTGAATGGAAGTTGATGTTGTCAGTCACATTGAGGGAAATACAATATGTTTGGCTATTGAAATAGCCTAGATAAGGCGAGAATGACATGGATGGGGGAATATGTAGACAGCTGTGGTTATTAGGATGTACATACAAGGAGAGCAAAATGTGTTTTAGAGAGGAGTGGAAATGGTTTCCATTTCTGTGTAGCCTATGCTTTAGCCTATTTCTGGGGGCGGGGGGCATGCAATTTGCTGCTGTTTCTGGTATTGCGTTTGGCCCGTGTATGACGGTGGAGATACAACTCAGAGGACTGGCGTGTGTCTCTAGAGCTATGTGACTCCCCACTTACGTCACCCCCCCCCCCCCGCCTGGAACAAGGCCAAGTAACGACAACCTGGAATAGAGGGAACCTGGCTGGCTCTGAAATCACTCCTACACTGTCACCCACACTGATTCATTTCACATTCACACCCAGTCACAGTGACAAGCACCAGTGTTCCATGCTCAATGAATTTAGTTTAAAATGGTAGCCCCCATTTTAATAGATACTGTAGACTATACAATAACTATCCCTTTACACACACACAAATACAGTTTATTGGTCTGACATGTTAAGCAAAATCAAAACCATGGATAACAGTAATTGGCCAGCCAAATGACCGCGGTCTCCGTAATATATATTTTACGCTCCTGAGTGCATGTGCTGCCATAGAAATAGAATGAATAGAACGGTTGTCCCCGTTCAAGTCAATGATGGCATAATGGGTGCACTGGCGGCCATTGCGAGTGTACCCATAGTAGCAAAGCAGGAAGTAAAAGCAGGAAGTAAAAGAAGGAAGTGTACCCATCAATATGTGCTGTGATTTGTTGATTCAACTGAACTGATATTCCCAAAAATACGTTCCATTGCATGAGCCACATCAGTTAATATCATTTGAACGAACATTCTACATTACCATGGAAGGTATTGCATCACAATACCAGGCAGCCATTGCGAGGACCCATGAGTTTACAAGTCAAATTTCCAGGGTTAGAGGTTCCAAGCCCATTTTATTAATTATATTTCTGTGTGTGCTGCTGCATTGTGTGGGGCGTTGCCTAGGCAACCAAAGTGTAATTTGCTAGTTTCTTGTTTCAGCAAGGAGCAACAAAGTATCATCACGTTGTTAAGAGTCCATGTTACCACAGAAACAGACTCAACTGCACGAATGCCTCCCGTCTAGGGCTGTTGCGGTGACCGTATTACCGCCACACCGGCAGTCATGAGTCATGACCGCAATCAAATTCCAAGTGATCGTTGTTGAGTCACGGTAATCTCCTTTTATGCACTCTGGACATGCTTTGGTAGTACCCAACTTGCTAACTACCATCAGGTCCTAATGGCCTGGTACTCAGGGCTCTATTGTCCCTCTAACCACTCTGACATCAATGCAAATACAATCGAAAATCACATCAAACACTTATCATCAAAACAGTAGGCCTATTGTACTTTTAAAACTCACCTCACTGTGATGATCAATTTGAAGAAAACAGGTTGAAACAGTGTAAAACATGGTTGTTGTGGATGTTGTTTCAAAGCCTAACACAACAAAATGGACAGCGCTTTCTAAGGTGATGATTATTTCAAAACACCTGTATGCATATTAGAGCTTATTAGGCTTATGAGCCCAAGCCTGAAAGAAAAGCCTGAATTAAAATGATGATTGTGCTGTTATACCATTCATAGCCTACTGCATATTACTCATGGCAGAAACACATAAAACCAAACTGATTTAAGATGTCTTTGGTACATAATTGGTCAGTTGAATCTATACTCCAAAATTACACAAATTCGAGTAATCGCCTTTGAGTGTGGACTGTATTATTATGCACACAGGATGGACTTGGTTACCTTATGCTACACTCCAAAATGTCTATCCATGAGTTGGGGAGAGAACATATATATATTCATTGTGCAGGGCGGCTTGCAGTTAGCCAACAATTAGTGAATTTGTATTTGATTTTGAATAGCCTAGTAATAGGGAATTAATTGGGTGACACATTACCTTTAGCTATACAGGATATCTCACCACCATGCGTTTCCATCTCCTCCTCTCTCTCCTTTATTACTTTCTCGAGCATGCAGACGGGCTGTCAACAGTTTAGTAAAATATGTTTAGTTGCGAAAACATGTTACTATCGATGTTCCTGAACAGGTTCCACTTGGTTTCCCAAATGAAGCACTGGGTAGCTGCAGGAACAAGGTTGGAGAGTCCATGGCATACAGAGTTTGGGAGGAATATCACTTGTCGTGCAGTGAGAGCATGCTGCTCAAACAGTGGTTAATGCTTGGAGTGAAATACACACTATACAGTGAGGGAAAAAAGTATTTGATCCCCTGCTGATTTTGTACGTTTGCCCACTGACAAAGACATGATCAGTCTATAATTTTTAATGGTAGGTTTATTTGAACAGTGAGAGACAGAATAACAAAAAAAAAATCCAGAAAAACGCATGTCAAAAATGTTATAAATTGATTTGCATTTTAATGAGGGAAATAAGTATTTGACCCCTCTGCAAAACATGACTTAGTACTTGGTGGCAAAACCCTTGTTGTCAATCACAGAGGTCAGATGTTTCTTGTAGTTGGCCACCAGGTTTGCACACATCTCAGGAGGGATTTTGTCCCACTCCTCTTTGCAGATCTTCTCCAAGTCATTAAGGTTTCAAGGCTGACGTTTGGCAACTCGAACCTTCAGCTCCCTCCACAGATTTTCTATGGGATTAAGGTCTGGAGACTGGCTAGGCCACTCCAGGACCTTAATGTGCTTCTTCTTGAGCCACTCCTTTGTTGCCTTGGCCGTGTGTTTTGGGTCATTGTCATGCTGGAATACCCATCCACGACCCATTTTCAATGCCCTGGCTGAGGGAAGGACGTTCTCACCCAAGATTTGACGGTACATGGCCCCGTCCATCGTCCCTTTGATGCGGTGAAGTTGTCCTGTCCCCTTAGCAGAAAAACACCCCCAAAGCATAATGTTTCCACCTCCATGTTTGACGGTGGGGATGGTGTTCTTGGGGTCATAGGCAGCATAGGCAGCATTCCTCTTCCTCCAAACACGGCGAGTTCAGTTGAGGCCAAAGACCTCGATTTTGGTCTCATCTGACCACAACAATTTCACCCAGTTCTCCTCTGAATCATTCAGATGTTCATTGGCGAACTTCAGATAGGCCTGTATATGTGCTTTCTTGAGCAGGGGGACCTTGTGGGCGCTGCAGGATTTCAGTCCTTCACGGCGTAGTGTGTTACCAATTGTTTTCTTGGTGACTATGGTCCCAGCTGCCTTGAGATCATTGACAAGATCCTCCCGTGTAGTTCTGGGCTGATTCCTCACCGTTCTCATGATCATTGCAACTCCACAAGGTGAGATCTTGCATGGAGCCCCAGGCCGAGGGAGATTGACTGTTATTTTGTGTTTCTTCCATTTGCGAATAATCGCACCAACTGTTGTCACCTTCTCACCAAGCTGCTTGGCGATGGTCTTGTAGCCCATTCCAGCCTTGTGTAGGTCTACAATCTTGTCCCTGACATCCTTGGAGAGCTCTTTAGTTTTGGCCATGGTGGAGAGTTTGGAATCTGATTGATTGATTGCTTTTATGGACAGGTGTTTTTTATGCAGGTAACAAACTGAGATTAGTAGCACTCCCTTTAAGAGTGTGCTCCTAATCTCAGCTCGTTACCTGTATAAAAGACACCTGGGAGTCAGAAATCTTTCTGATTGAGAGGGGGTCAAATACTTATTTCCCTCATTAAAATGCAAATCAATTTATAACATTTTTTACATGCGTTTTTCTGGATTTTTTTGTTGTTATTCTGTCTCTCACTGTTCAAATAAACCTACCATTAGAATTATAGACTGATAATTTCTTTGTCAGTGGGCAAACGTACAAAATCAGCAGGGGATCAAATACTTTTTCCCCTCACTGTATATGCAAAAGTATGTGGATACCCCTTCAAATGAGTGGATTCGGCTATTTCAGCCACACCCATTGCTGACAGGTGTATAAAATCGAGAACACAGCCATGCAATCTCCACAGCTGCCAATGACTGGAACGAACTGCAAAAATCTCTGAAGCTGGAGACTCTTATCTCCCTCACTAACTTTAAGCGTCAGTTGTCAGAGCCGATCACTGCACCTGTACACAGCCATTCTGAAATTAGCCCACCAAACTACCTCATCCCCATATTGTTATTTATTTTGCTAATTTGCACCCCAGTATCTCTATTTGCACCTCATCTTTTGCACATCTATCATTCCAGTGTTAATACGAAATTGTAACTATTTTGCACTATGGCGTATTTATTTCCTTACCTCCATCTTACTACATTCGCACACACTGTATATATATTTTCTGTTGTATTTATGACTTTATGTTTTGTTTACCCCATATGTAACTGTGTTGTTGTTTTTATCGCACTGCTTTGCTTTATCTTGGCCAGGTCGCAGTTGTAAATGAGAACTTGTTCTCAACTGGCTTACCTGGTTAAATAAAGGTGAAATAAAAAAATAGACAAACATTGGCAGTAGAATGGCCTTACTGAAGAGCTCAGTGACTTTCAACGTGGCACCGTCATAGGATGCCACCTTTCCAACAAGTCAGTTTGTCAAATTTCTGCCCTGCTAGAGCTGCCCCGGTCAACTGTAAGTGCTGTTATTGTGAAGTGGAAACGTCTAGGAGCAACAACGGCTCAGCCGCGAAATTGTAGGCAACACAGAACAGGACCCGCCGAGTGCTGAAGCGTGTAAAAGTCATCTGTCCTCGGTTGAACACTCACTATCGAGTTCCAAACTGTCTCTGGAAGCAACGTCAGCACAATAACTGTTAGTCGGGAGCTTCATGAAATGGGTTTCCATGGCCGAGCAGCTGCACACAAGCCTAAGATCACCATGCGCAATGCCAAGCGTCATCTGGAGTGGTGTAAAGCTCGCCGCCATTGGACTCTGGAGCAGTGGAAACGCGTTCTCTGGAGTGATGAATCACGCTTCACCATCTGGCAGTCCGATAGACAAATCTGGGTTTGGCGGATGCCAGAAGAACGCTACGTGCCCGAATGCATAATGCCAACTGTAAAGTTTGGTGGAGGAGGAATAATGGTCTGGGGCTGTTTTTCATGGTTCGGGCTAGGCCCCTTAGCTCCAGTGAAGGGAAATATTAAAGCTACAGCATTCAATGACATTCTTGATGGTTCTGTGCTTCCAAATGTGTGGTAACAGTTTGGGGAAGGCCCTTTCCTGTTTCATCATGACAATGCCCCCGTGCATAAAGCGAGGTCCATACAGAAATGGTTTGTCGAGATCGGTGTGGAAGACCTTAACTGGCCTGCACAGAGCCCTGACCTCAACCCCATCGAACACCTTTTGGATGAATTGGAATGCCGACTGCGAGCCAGGCCTAATCGCCCAACATCAGTGCCCGACCTCACTAATGCTCTTGTGGCTAAATGGAAGCAAGTCCCCGCAGCAATGTTCCAACATCTAGTGGAAAGCCTTCCCAGAAGAGTGGAGGCTGCTATAGCAGCAAAGGGGGGACCAACTCCATATTAATGCCCATGATTTTGGAATGAGATGTTTGATGACGACTACATACCTTTGGTTATGTAGTGTAAGTGTTCTTATATTTATTTCTCAGCTGCTCATATTAAGCACATGCCTCCGCTATAAAACCGAAGTAGCCTACAAAACGGACCTGCGGGAAACCGCGCGGCCTCCATTCGCTATTCTAGTGCATACAGATGACATGTCTTTTTTCCCCTGTCATTGTTCCTACCCATTTGATAATGGGCCATTCTAAATCTAAACTAATTTGACATATTAGTAAAGACCAGACTAAATTGAGAATAGTCTGATGGGTGAAAATATGATCACTTAATGAGAGAACAGCTGTGCAGCCTGAGGCAAGGAACAGAGCGCAAGCTTCTTTTGCTACTTTCTCAAGTCATTAATAGCCTATAATAGTCACACCATGCAGCCCATATACAGTGGGGGAAAAAAGTATTTAGTCAGCCACCAATTGTGCAAGTTCTCCCACTTAAAAAGATGAGAGAGGCCTGTAATTTTCATCATAGGTACACGTCAACTATGACAGACAAAATGAGAAAAAAAAATAAATAAATTGTTGGATTTTTAATGAATTTATTTGCAAATTATGGTGGAAAATAAGTATTTGGTCAATAACAAAAGTTTCTCAATACTTTGTTATATACCCTTTGTTGGCAATGACACAGGTCAAACGTTTTCTGTAAGTCTTCACAAGGTTTTCACACACTGTTGCTGGTATTTTGGCCCATTCCTCCATGCAGATCTCCTCTAGAGCAGTGATGTTTTGGGGCTGATGCTGGGCAACACAGACTTTCAACTCCCTCCAAAGATTTTCTATGGGGTTGAGATCTGGAGACTGGCTAGGCCACTCCAGGACCTTGAAATGCTTCTTACGAAGCCACTCCTTCGTTGCCCGGGCGGTGTGTTTGGGATCATTGTCATGCTGAAAGACCCAGCCACGTTTCATCTTCAATGCCCTTGCTGATGGAAGGAGGTTTTCACTCAAAATCTCATGATACATGGCCCCATTCATTCTTTCCTTTACACGGATCAGTCGTCCTGGTCCCTTTGCAGAAAAACAGCCCCAAAGCATGATGTTTCCACCCCCATGCTTCACAGTAGGTATGGTGTTCTTTGGATGCAACTCAGCATTCTTTGTCCTCCAAACACGACGAGTTGAGTTTTTACCAAAAAGTTATATTTTGGTTTCATCTGACCATATGACATTCTCCCAATCCTCTTCTGGATCATCCAAATGCACTCTAGCAAACTTCAGACGGGCCTGGACATGTACTGGCTTAAACAGGGGGACACGTCTGGCACTGCAGGATTTGAGTCCCTGGCGGCATAGTGTGTTACTGATGGTAGGCTTTGTTACTTTGGTCCCAGCTCTCTGCAGGTCATTCACTAGGTCCCCCCGTGTGGTTCTGGGATTTTTTCTCACCGTTCTTGTGATCATTTTGACCCCACGGGGTGAGATCTTGCGTGGAGCCCCAGATTGAGGGAGATTATCAGTGGTCTTGTATGTCTTCCATTTCCTAATAATTGCTCCCACAGTTGATTTCTTCAAACCAAGCTGCTTACCTATTGCAGATTCAGTCTTCCCAGCCTGGTGCAGGTCTACAATTTTGTTTCTGGTGTCCTTTGACAGCTCTTTGGTCTTGGCCATAGTGGAGTTTGGAGTGTGACTGTTTGAGGTTGTGGACAGGTGTATTTTATACTGATAACAAGTTCAAACAGGTGCCATTAATACAGGTAACGAGTGGAGGACAGAGGAGCCTCTTAAAGAAGAAGTTACAGGTCTGTGAGAGCCAGAAATCTTGCTTGTTTGTAGGTGACCAAATACTTATTTTCCACCATAATTTGCAAATAAATTCATTAAAAATCCTACAATGTGATTTTCTGGATTTTTTTCTCTCGATTTGTCTGTCATAGTTGACGTGTACCTATGATGAAAATTACAGGCCTCTCTCATCTTTTTAAGTGGGAGAACTTGCACAATTGGTGGCTGACTAAATACTTTTTTTCCCCACTGTATGTTTTGATTTTGAAGACAGTCTAAGGTTTGTATCATTCACAACTAAAGTTGCCAATTAACTCTAAATCTACCATATAAGACCTGTTTCAAATGATCACTTTTACGCTCAACATAGCCACTTCATATGCGCACTCGCTCCATAATGGGAAAAATATCCTTTCTATTTTATTCAGCTAAGTTCAATTATATTCTTCTTACTATAAAATCATATAATATAAATAATGGCATGGGACTTATAAGCATATCTTGTCTGCTAAATGAACAAGCCTACAGCCTATGCCATGGAGCAGAACCACGTAACATAGGCCTACATTAGGCCAACTCATATTCTGTTCTTCAGAAAACCATTTTTTTCATATCATAATGTTTCTTTAGACCTGACAAAAATAAATAATGGATGTATTGTGATGGTGTATATTAAATGTAGATGCTCCAAAGGCGCGCATCAGCGGCTTGTATGCGTGGAGGCCTGGAGATGCTAAACATGTTTATGTTAATTAACGGTCAATTACAGTGAGACCGGCAGACTTTTGCATGACAATAACCGGCTCACAAAATGTCATGACCGCCACAGCCATACCCCTATCCCGTCTTCAGTCAGCTGTTCATTTAGACATATACAGTGCATTCGGGAAGTATTCAGACCCCTTGACCTTTTCCACATTTTGTTATGTTACAGCGTTATTCTAAAATTGTTTTTTTCCCCTCATCAATCTACACACAATACCCCATAATGACGAAGCAAAAACTGGTTTTTATACATTTTTGCAAATGTATTAAAAATTAAAAAACTGAAATGTCACATTTACATAAGTATTCAGACCCTTTACTCAGAACTTTGTTGAAACACCATTTGCAGCGATTACAGCCTCGAGTCATCTTGGGTATGACGCTACAAGCTTGGCACACCTGTATTTGGGGAGTTTCTCCCATTCTTCTCTGCAGATCCTCTCCAGTGCTGTCAGGTTGGATGGGGAGCATCGCTGCACAGCTATTTTCAGGTCTCTCCAGAGATGTTCGATCGGGTTCAAGTCGGGGCTCTGGCTGGGCCACTCAAGGACATTGAGAGACTTGTCCCGAAGTCGCTCCTGCGTTGTCTTGGCTGTGTGCTTAGGGTCGTTGTCCTGTTGGAAGGTGAACCTTCACCCTAGTCTGAGGTCCTGAGCGCTCTGGAGCAGGTTGTCATCAAGGATCTCTCTGTACTTTGCTCAGTTCATCTTTCCCTCGATCCTGCCTAGTCTCTCAGTCCCTGTCGCTGAAAAACATCCTCAAAGCATGATGCTGCCACCATCATGCTTCACCGTAGGGATGGTGCCAAGTTTCCTCCAGACGTGACGCTTGGCATTCAGGCAAAAGAGTTCAATCTTGGTTTCATCAGACTAGAGAATCTTGTTTCTCATGGTCTGAGAGTCCTTTAGGTGCCTTTTGGCAACCTCCAAGCAGGCTGTCGTGCCTTTTTACTGAGGAGTGGCTTCCGTCTGGCCACTCTACCATAAAGGCCTGATTGGTGGAGTGCTGCAGAGATGGTTGTCCTTCTTGAAGGTTCTCTCATCTCCACAGAGGAACTCTGGAGCTCTGTCAGAGTGACCATCAGATTCTTGGTTACCTCCCTGACCAAGGCCCTTCTCCCCCGATTGCTCAGTTTGGTCGGGCTGCCAGCTCTAGGAAGAGTCTTGGTGGTTCCAAACTTCTTCCATTTAAGGATGATGGAGGCCACTGCGTTCTTGGGGACCTTCAATGCTTCAGAAATGTTTTAGTACCCTTCCCCAGATCTGTGCCTCGACACAATCCTGTTTTTCTTAATTTTTACTATTTTTTACATTGTAGAATAATAGTGAAGACATCAAAACTATGAAATAACACATATGGAATCATGTAGTAACCAAAAAAGTGTTAAACAAATCAAAATATATTTTATATTTGAGATTCTTCAGATAGCCACCCTTTGACTTGATGACAGCTTTGCGCACTCTTGGCATTCTCTTAACCAGCTTCATGAGGTAGTCACCTAGAATGCATTTCAATTAACAGGTGTGCCTTCTTAGAAGTCAATTTGTGGAATTTCTTTCCTTCTTAATGCGTTTAAGACAATCAGTTGTGTTGTGACAAGGTAGCGGGGGTATACAGAAGATAGCCCTATTTGGTAAAAGACCAAGTCCATATTATGGCAATAACAGCTCAAATAAGCAAAGCGAAACGACAGTCCATCATTACTTGAAGACATGAAGGTCAGTCAATCCGGAACATTTCAAGAAGTTTCTTCAAGTGCAGTCGCAACAACCATCAAGCGCTATGATGAAACTGGCTCTCATGAGGACCGCCACAGGAATGGAAGACACAGAGTTACCTCTGCTGCAGAGGATAAGTTCATTAGAGTTACCAGTCTCAGAAATTGGAGCCCAAATAAATGCTTCACAGAGTTCAGAGGGGACTGTGTGAATCAGGCCTTCATGGGCGAATTGCTGCAAAGAAACCACTACTAAAGGACACCAATAAGAAGAAGAGACCTGCTTGGGCCAAGAAACACGAGCAATGGACATTAGACCGGTGAAAATGTGTCCTTTGGTCTGATGAGTCCAAATTGGAGATTTTTGGTTCAAACCGCCGTGTCTTTGTGAGACGCGGTGTGGGTGAACGGATGATCTCCGCATGTGTAGTTCCCACCGTAAAGCATGGAGGAGGAGGTGTTATGGTGTGGGGGTGATTTGATGGTGACACTGTCTGTGATTTATTTAGAATTAGAGGCACACTTAACCAGCATGGCTACCACAGCATTCTGCAGCGATATGCCATCCCATCTGGTTTGGGCTTAGTGGGACTATCATTTGTTTTTCAACAGGACAGTGACCCAACCCACCTCCAGGCTGTGTAAGGGCTATTTTTCCAAGAAGGAGGGTGATGGATTGCTGCATCAGATGACCTGTCCTCCACAATCCCCCGACCTCAACCCAATTGAGATGGTTTGGGATGAGTCGGATGGCAGAGTGAAGGAAAAGCAGCCAACAAGTGCCCAACATATGTGGGAACTCCTTCAAGACTGTTGGAAAAGCATTCCAGGTGAAGCTGGTTAAGAGAATGCCAAGAGTGTGCAAAGCTGTCATCAAGGCAAAGGGTGGCTATTTGAAGAATCTCAAATATAAAATACATTTTGATTTGTTTAACACTTTTTTGTTTACTACATGATTCCATATGTGTTATTTCATAGTTTTGATGTCTTCACTATTATTCTACAATGTAAAACATAATCAAAATAAAGAAAAACCCTTGAATGAGTAGGTGTGTCCAAACTTTTGACTGGTACCGCGGTGACTGGTCATCATATATGGTTATGACGTTTCTTTTTATAAACATCATGCTAATAGATTTACTTCTATTTTAAGAGGCTTTGAAGTGGTAATGAACCTGGAATAATCTGCATTTCTCAAGTGTAAACATTGGATTAGTATAGCCTACACTGTTTGATGCCTTGTATCCGGTGAAGGTATTAAACGGATTCAGTCTCTAGCCTCCCCAAGTTCCCATCACAATGAGCAGTCAACAACAGTAGCTGTGCAGCCCACTGAGCCCAGCCCAGCATCATCACTCCACTACTCCTGGCCCGCTATCAAACCCCTGTCTTTATTTCCTGGCTCACCTCTCACTTTTATTACCATTCCCCCATCAAGAGACTGTCAGAGAGCTCATTGTCATGGAAATCCACGAGAAGCAGAAGAGATGTCGGTTACGTGCCAAATGGCACCCTTTTCCCTATACTGTGCACTACTTTCGACCAGGGCGCATAGGACTCTGGTCAAATCTAGTGCACTATGTAGGGAATAGGGTGCCATTTGGGATACAACAGTCAGGTCAGCAGGCAGGTGCTTGCTGTTCTCCCAAGGTGGTATTTCAAACAGGAGAGAGACGATTATGGTAATGTGTTGGTGGTGGGAATCTCAATGTCATCGTAAGACAGTCACATGGAACGGAATGGAATAAATCACTGCTGCAGTTCCCCGGCCAGTGTGATGACTCTTGAAATCGATTATGGATGCCATCTCATGTGAGGGGCGAGATGGAGACCCAAAGGCCATACTAATGAGTGTACAAAACATTAAGAACACTTTCCTAATATTGAGTTGCACCCCCCACTTTTGGCTTCAGAATAGACTCAATTCGTCGGGGCATGTCCTCTACAAGGTGTCGAAAGCATTCCACAGGGATGCTGGCCCATGTTGACTCCAATGCTTCCCACAGTTATATCAAGTTGGCTGGATGTCCTTTGGGTGGTGGACAATTCTTGATACACACGGGAAACTGTTGAGCGTGAAAAACCCAGCAGCGTTGCAGTTCTTGACACAAACCGGGCCCCTGGCACCTATTACCAAACCCTGTTCAAAGGCATTTCAATCTTTTGTCTTTCCCATTCACCCTCTGAATGGCACACATACACAATCCATCTCAATTGTCTCAAGGCTTAAAAATCCTTCTTTAACCTGTCTTAGGCCCTTCATCTACACTGATTGAAGTGGATTTAACAAGTGACATCAATAAGTGATCATAGCTTTCACATGGATTCACCTGGTAAGTCCATGTCATGGAAAGAGCATGTTTTGTATGTGTGTACTGTCTGTTTACAGGTAGACTAGCTGTGTGTGGTTAACAAGTGTTTACCAAGATGCATGTCACCTGTGCTGTGACCGATATTATCTTTTTTTCCCATTTTAATTTACTCTTGTAAGACTGATGTTAGGCTTTAATTATTTTTTAGCTAGGCCTAGTTTAGATTTAAAACTCAGTTTCACATTCACAGCTTCGTGTTGGCAGTCCTAAGACACACTCACACACTGATTGCCAGAGCTGACAATCTAATTTGTCTCTCAGACAGCATTCTCATTCACATTTTAGTGGACACTCTGATCCAGAGCGACTTACAGGAGCTATTAGGGTTAAGTGCATTGCTCAAGGGCACATCAACAGATTGTTCACCTAGTCGGCTCTTGGATTCGAACTAGCGACCTTTTAGTTACTGCGTAGTAAACTATAAAAACGGATTGGCATATCAGATTTAACAAGTGAAATATTGAAATACCGTTATAGGAGGTAAAGTAAAAACCCAAACCAGTCCCTGCATCAATACCAGTATTTAGTAAAATACGGTATAGAGCCCAGCCCTAATAGGCTTAGGTCTATTGTATTAAGAATTTCTGAAATAGCCTGTCTGTATTTACGGACAAGTGCAAGCACAGACAAGTGCTGCTCTGATGGTTTCTAAGCCATAACTGAGCGGTCCAGTGGACAGCACTCCTGGTTTTACAGAAATAAAAGCCAGAAACACTAGAGAATTCTACTTGCAGCAACATCACTTTTTCCCTCTTTTAGCCACACAACATGTCACCGTGACCAACTTAATCCAGCCAAACTCCTCAGTATAGCAGACCTAAGCCAGCAGAGTTCTGGTTCACCCTGTGGTATTTTTGCATCCGTTATGGAGGCTCAGGCATGTCAAAAATAGCCTCCTCTTCCAGTCACAATACCTCATGTGAGGCTGAAATAGATTGAGAGACTTGTCGGGGGGCCACAGGAAACAGAGGGGAATGGTGTGAAACATCACTAATGAGTGCTAAGAGGCTTTGTATTGGATGAAACAGAGTGATGATCTCTTATTAGGTTTGAATTGGATTCTGGTCACATATCAAGTGTAATTATTAGACTAGGCCTGTTGTGTGTTGTCGTGGTTCTGCCCTGCTTTTCAGGGCTGAGTGTCTAGCGCTGATAAAAAAAGCACAGTTTTTAATTGGACTTTGGGATCAAGAGGCAGTGTTGTTGCTACAAGGCGTGAAATATGAATACATTTTGAAAGGGTGTAAATGGTCCTCTAGTCATGTGCTCTGATGTGTTGCCATGATCATGACTATTACGCTATTTCATTTCATTGGGCTCATAGTATTGCTTTATTTATGGCGTTTCAGTGTAACCCTAGCCTACCTGTCACGACTTCCTCCGAAGCTGCCTCCTCTCCTTGTTCGGGCAGGCTTCGGCATTCGTCGTCACCGGCCTTCTAGCCACTGCCGCTCCTCTTCTCATCATTCCATTTGTTTTGTCTTGTTTTTCACACACACCTGGTTCATATCCCCTCATCAGTCCCTGTATAAGTATTCCCTCTGCCCCCCATGTCTTTGTGTGTGATTGTTTCCATGTGGAGGTGTCGATAGCTCGGTGGAGCATTATGTACTTTATCGCCGGGATATTCACCCATGTGTTTTGTTTTCCCCAGTGTGCTGTTAAGTCGCACGGTAGTTGTTTTACGCATTGCTGCGAACCGCTGTATTGGCCGAATAAACCATTATTCTGTGATTTACACCTCCTGCGCCTGACTCGTCCAAATCACCCGCTACAGAATCACACACCCAACAGCATGGAGTCTTTGAGCGGGTCCAGGAGCATTCCAACATGTTAGCCAGCTTGGGCGAAGTGATGGATCGGGTTCTCCAGGTCGTCCAGCGCCAGGACAGGAGAGGAACCGACCCTGCGGAACCAGCTGAGCGACCGGATCCAGCCACCCACACCCCAGCACCCAGATGTATTCACCTGTATCGACAGAGGGAATACGACGGGACAGCGGCCCGCTGCCAGGGTTTCCTCCTGCAGCTGGACTTCTATTTCACCACCATCAACCCTGCTCCATCGGATCGGGAGAAGGTGCTGCCCTCGTCTCCTGCCTCTCGGGGAAAGCCCTGGAGTGGGCCAACGCTGTCTGGAGTGAAGGAGGAGACGCGTTGGACAACTACGGAGAGTTCGCTCGCCTCTTCCGGGCAGTCTTCGATCATCCCCCCGAAGGAAGAGAGGCGGGCGAGCGTCTGGTCCATCTGAGGCAGGGGACGAGGACCGTGTAAGACTTTGCTCTGGAGTTTAGAACTCTTGCGGCTGGGTCCGGGTGGAACGACCACTTTCGATGCAGCCTGCCTGAGGACGTCCGAAGAGGGCTAGCCTGCCGGGATACCATGTTGACCTTCAACCAACTGGTGGACATGGCCATCCGGTTGGATAACCTGCTGGCTTCGAGAGGACGTCCTGGAAGGGGCCTACCCGTTTCACCCCCCTTCAACCCGGATCACGTTCTGATGGAGCTGGGTGGTGCAGCGTTCCAGGAGAATGGAGGATGACAGATCCAGTGTCACTCTTGTGGAAAGAGGGGACATTCTGCTGCACGATGTCGTCAGAGTTCTTCTGATTCTGGAGGCGGTAGGCAGGGCACTCTCACGTCACCTCAGGTAGCACAAACCCACACTCGTTCAGAGCCCTCTGCTGCGCATTTCACCATCCATGTCAACTTCCCTGATTACACGGTAGTTCCCCAGTGTAAGGCGCTGGTAGATTCAGGCGCAGCTGGGAACTTTATGGACAGGTCGTTTGCTCTTAGCCTACGTATTACATTGGTTCCCCTGTCTACTTCCACCGTGCGTATTCTCCCCGAATACCTCGATTTGGCGCACGTGTTTTCCAAAACGCAGGCAACCAAATTACCACCCCATTGGGCGGGGGATTGCGCAATAAACCTCCGGTTAGACGCTGTGCCTCCAAGGAGTCATGTATATCCCCTGTCGCAGGCTGAAACAGAGGCTATGGAGACATACGTCTCCGAGTCCCTGCATCAGGAGTTCATACGTCCCTCCACTTCACCCGCCTCCTCAAGTTTATTTTTTATGAAGAAGAAAGACGGGGGTCTGCGTCCTTGCATTGATTACCGTGCACTTAATCAAACAACCATTCGCTATAGTTACCCTGTATCCCTCATTTCCTCTGTTATCGAATCAGTGCATGTGGCGCGCTTCTTCACAAAATTAGATCTCCGGAGTGAGTACAACCTGGTGCGTGTCCGGGAAGGGGACGAATGGAAGACGGCATTCAGCACAACCACGGGGCATTATGAATACCTGGTGATGCCGTATGGGTTGATGAATGCTCCATCAGTCTTCCAGAACGAGGTGTTTCGGGACATGCTTGGTCGCGGTGTGGTGGTCTACATTGATGACATCCTGGTGTATTCAGCTACGCGCGCCGAGCACGTGTCCCTGGTTCGCAGAGTGCTTGGCTCTTCAGGGTTATTTTTGGTCTCTTTGTTGCCTCTCTGATTAATGCCCTCCTTGCCTGGTCCGTGAGTTTTTGTGGGCGGCCCTCTCTTGGCAGGTTTGTTGTGGTGCCATATTCTTTCCATTTTTTAATAATGGATTTAATGGTGCTCCGTGGGATGTTCAAAGTTTCAGATATTTTTTTATAACCCAACTCTGATCTGTACTTCTCCACAACTTTTTTAAAGGACCAAAGAGTTTGGTCTGCTTCGTGTTTACATTTTTGCCATGGAAAAAATATTGCTGATATCCTCACAGCCCTACACTGGGAGTCGTTGTCCCAAAGGTGGGAAGGCAGGCGACAAGCTTAGGTCCAAAATAAGGCAGAACCTCTCCTGTTCTACTACACTGCCAGCCAGGCAGAACCTCCCCTGTTTATAGCCGATTTATGGTCAATCCGATGTCTGTATTGCTTGTACAGCGTTTACTGCGATATGGCCTCTGCAAAAGTCAGAGCATTCATAATTATTGCGCTTCGCGGAGCAGAGCAGTTGTGAAGGAAGTTGTCAAGGAAGTGAGTTTGTTTTTATACAGGACGTACCGCCCCCACCTACCAACAACCAATCATGTCAATGCGGCGCTATATGGAGCAATACGTAGCCCTCCACATTGTTACAACATTTGGGAGGCGTACAGCGATGCGGTATGGAGCTTGATTTGGCCTCCGCAAGCCTACAGAAGCTCTGCAATTGCATCACACCCTCCGTACGGAGCCTCTAGACTGCATTTCCGGATCAAGCATAAATCGGCTTTTACCTGCACAGCCAGCCAGGCAGAACCTCCCCTGTTCCACTGCACTGCCAGCCAGCCAGCCAGGCAGAACCTCCCCAGTTCCACTGGACTGCCAGCCAGCTAGGCCAGACAGAGTGCAGCTTGCATTATTGAAGCCCCAACATCCATCATGATGGGTGTAACTCCCACAGTTCAAAGTCAGACTGCTGACTGTGCTGGTTAAAGGTAGACTCAGAAATGCATGTAGTAAACTGCAATATCGGGTCGAATTCAGCAGCTAAGACCATTTGAGCATGAGGCTCACTCCACTGCTTTGGTCCTGTAGCTATCACGTTGTAGCAGCGTGAAGCGCACCCTTGCACATGCGCAGATACTCTGTGTGCCTGTGTGAGAGCAAAGTGTTGCGTCACGCTCATCTGAATATCTGCATTGCTGCTTGTACCAACATATCGCTGAGTCTCAGTTTAATATTACATTATTTTAAAGCCAATCTAGGGACTGATGTGTGTAACTCTCCAAAGTTCAAAGCCAGTTACTGAGCATTGCTGACAGTGCTAGTTAATATTATATTATTTCAAAGTCCATCTATGGACTGATGTTGCAAATTTGGGCAAGCTTAAAGGACTTTTTTATTTTTTTTTTTACAAAATCTCTAATTTAATGAAAGGACGCACATGCCTGCACACTAAAAAGTGTTGCTTGAGTCCAACAAAATATAATATATCATTGCAGATAATGTTTGGAATGACACCATTTCATGTGTACAACATCTAAAGACCTGCATCACTATACTGGAAGCTTTGCCGTTTCTAAAGGGGACGTATTTGGGTGTTTTTGGAGCTTTGTTCATGTTTTCTGGGTGCCCACATACTACCGAATGAGCCTGAGGAGGTCTATCGCTGGTGGGGTAAGTTTCTCAAAACCAAGTTAAATCACTAAAAAGTGTCTGAACACTTCTATAGCATACCATTTACGTCCCAAAATAGAGATTTGGTTAAAGAAATGTACTTGCCCTTTAAACATGATGCTGCAATGTCCTGACTAATGATAGGCCTAATTCAATGTGTCAATGTTTGAAACTGTCCCTTAACAAATACACTTTATTATTAAATTGCCCCATTTCTGGGATGCCATTTTGCATCCCTGTATCAGTACATTTATGCTAAATGATACATCTACATACTTACTGGTGCCAAACTGTGGTTTATGTTACCTTATGCTAATACTGTACCAGTACTGGTCCATGAAGAATAATTAAATTAGATATAGGCCTATAACCCTAGTGTAGGGGTATTCAAATCTTACCCTACAAGTTCCGTAGCCTGCTGATTTTCTGTTCTACCTGATAATTAATGAATTAATTACACCCATCTAGTATCCCAGGTCTAAATCAGTCCCTGATTAGAGGGATAATTAAAAAAGCAGTGGAACTGGCTTCGAGGTCCAGATTTTAATTTGAGGGCCCTAGTGTATCTCCCAACAAAGACTGGAACATCCTTGTAATAAAGTACCATTACCTTTCCTCCAGAGGAAGGAAAATATTCATCCTATCTGATAAGCTACATTTCCCCTATCCTCATAGGACCATCCTAATCTCACAAGCGTACAGTATTCTGTTTTGCTACACGGTTTCAGTTAAGTGAAATGAAATGAGAGCACAGTGTTTAGGATGGTGGATCAGGCTAACATTTCCTAGCCCAGGTGCAGGAATACTGTCAAATATGCCTATTCCCGGAGACGATACATAATAATAGCCTGATATTCCTGAATCCTGAAATCAAATCAAACACACTGAAATGGTGTGTGTGTCAAAGCAGCTTGTTCTCTGCGAAGGCAACACAAGCTGCTGTTACACATGTTGTTGAATATCAGACAAACACACATCTTGTTGGTGATTTCGGTGGTAAACCTAGACTAATGGCTGGATGTGCTGTTATGCCACTCTGGCGGTCTTATAAAGTCATTTTTACACGCCTCTGGCTCAGTCTCGGTTTCAACTGTCAGTTTATTGGTCCATTAAAGGTCCATCTCTGTCTCTCAGGGTCTGGATGAGGAGGCCATCGTTGACCTTGGGAAGACCAGCTCCACCACCCACACCAACTATGGGACGGAAGAGCTGGAGAGTAAGTCCCTACAGTACAGCCCTACCCACTTACTATTCCTGTGTGCATAGTGAATGTGTTGGAGTGGTGTAGCAGTCAGGTTTGAGGTCATTTCCACTTCCAATTTACTTCCTGAATTAACTGAATTGATATTGAATTGACTCCAACCCTGGTATCAGTCAGTGTGTGTGTGTGTGTGTGTGTGTGTGTGTGTGTGTGTGTGTGTGTGTGTGTGTGTGTATAGCTACAGTATGTGTGCTTTCCTTTGTTACTGTTGTCTATATGCCTGTTTGCTTGTCTCTGTGTGGGTGCTTCCTGTCCACATATAGGCCTAGAGACGTGCTGTGAATAGAAAGAACAGGTGTTGCTGATTTTGTTTCTCAGGGGGCCTTGGCAGGTTAAAGCCAGCCCCAGCCTGGCGCTCCTCTCCTGTAGCTTTCCAGAAGGGTATGTTCGTTAGCCAGGCATACATGAGCGCACAGGAATATTGTAACTGTAATTGAGCTTATCTGTCATGTACAGCTTTATTCAAGTCCAGCTGGAGATTCTTTGTGTTTATTTTTTTAACATACCTGTATGGCTATATAAAAAATAATGCTGTACAATTTCATCACAATTTTCCCGAATTAGCCTAGAGCTTTGGTTTCAATTACAAAATAAGGATTTCCAATGGGATGATATGGCTGGAAAAACTGGCTGAAATGATGTCATTGCAAGATTTGCTCGCTGGGATAGTATCAGCTGTGGTATTGTAGTGTTGTATCACATAAAAGTACAGTACATAACAGTACAGTGGTGTCTCCTTACCCCAAACATTCTCTGCCTATCTAACTTTGATTAGCCGCAAATTGAGAGATTAGGACATGATTAGCTGTCCACATGGCCTTTGAGTATCTGGGCTGTCTAGGTTACAAAGCTATCTTTCTCTATCTGAGCTGTAAATTCAAGGGGATTTCAAACAGGACCTGTGATTAACTCTAATAAGTAGGTACTGAGCCAAGACGACACCTTCCAATACTTGCCCCTGGCAGAAAAATGCTGCATATTCCGTTTGAGGTTGCAGTGCAGTATACAGAATGGTTGACCAACAGTGTACTAAATGTTTAGTAGGCTATTTAGGGTCATACAAATCAGTATGATGAGTCATTTTATTAGAGGTCAATATGTAGGGGCATGAAACATTCACAGTGCATGTTCACAAACATTCACAGCGCATTTTTCCAGGATGAGGACAATATTTGAGTTGTATTTCTTTTAGAACATAACTCTGTGTTGCCTGAAACAGAGCTGGCAGTGAGCCAGCTGTGAATGAGAGCGATCCTCTGTGGTCCATCTCCTGGGAACGAGGCAGAGAGAGGAGAGGCTTTTAACCCTTTTGATTAAAATCTAATCAGCATAATAAAACGATCCCCATAAAAATCTGTTTAAGTCTGTTTAAGTTAGAGATATATTGTTTGTCTCAATCCGCCACATCCGCCGATATCGGCCTTCCGCTTCTGCGATGAAAGGGGGCAGAGCTACAGCTGTGTTTGTCGGACCATGAGACATCCCGAAAATCGGTCTTCTCACAAAAAACGTCTGTAGTGTCCGAACGGTTTGGCCTACAAACTATTATGACACGTCTATGGAAACACGTACATGTCGGTGGTTTTACTCTATGACCCCCACAAATGTCACGGGACTCGTCTGAAGGTAGCCCGGTACCAGTTTAAAAAATGAATGGACGTACAGTGAGGGAAAAAAGTATTTGATCCCCTGCTGATTTTGTACGTTTGCCCACAGACAAAGACATGATCAGTCTATAATTTTAATGGTAGGTTTATTTGAACAGTGAGAGACAGAATAACAACAAAAAAATCCAGAAAAATGCATGTTAAGAACATGACATAGACTGACCAGGTGAATCCAGGTGAAAGCTATGATCCCTTATTGATGTAAAATCCCCTTCAATCAGTCTAGATGAAGGGGAGAGACAGGTTAAAGAAGGATTTGTAAGCCTTGAGAACAATTGAGACATGGATTGTGTATGTGTGCCATTCAGAGGGTGAATGGGCAAGACTTAAGTGCCTTCGAACAGGGTATGGTCGTATGTGCTAGGCACATCAGTTTGTGTCAAGAACTGCAACGCTGCTGGGTTTTTCACGCTCAAAAGTTTGGTCCACAACCCAAAGGACATCCAGACAATTTGACACAACATGGGCCAGCATCCCTGTGGAACTCTTTCGACACCTTGTAGAGTCCATGCCCTGATGAATTGAGGCTGTTCTGAGGGCCACTCAATATAAGGAAGGTGTTGTGTTAATGTTTTGTACACTCAGTGTATATGGAAGTAATTTAGTGCCTAAAAAAGGGTTTAAATATGTGTCAAATTATCGTTCTTCTTATATCTCTCAGATATAGGACAGACACTTCAATTGAAACTTCCTTTTGATAACTTCTTTCTGTTTTTCCATGTATGAATCTGTTATTCAATGCGTTTATTATGGGCTAATAGCAGTAAGTCCAAATTCAATGTTTTATCAAATATTTCTTATATATACACTACCGGTCAAAAGTTTTAGAACACCTACTCATTCATTTATTTTTACTATTTTCTACATTGTAGAATAATAGTGAAGACATCAAAACTATGAAATAACACATATGGACTCATGTAGTAACCAAAAAAGTGTTAAACAAATCAAAATATATTTTATATTTGAGATTCTTCAAATAGCCACCATTTGCCTTGATGACAGCTTATTTGAGCTGTTCTTGCCATAATATGGACTTTGTCTTTGACCAAATATTCTGTATACCCCGTTACCTTGTCACAACACAACTGATTGGCTCAAACACATTAAGAAGGAAATAAATTCCACAAATTAACTTTTAAGAAGGCACACCTGTTAATTGAAATGCATTCCAGGTGACTACCTCATGAAGCTGGTTGAGAGAATGCCAAGACTGTGCAAAGCTGTCATCAAGGCAAAGGGTGGCTATTTGAAGAATTCTCTAATATAACATTTATTTTCATTTCTTTAACACTTTGTTGGTTACTACATTATGCCATATGTGTTATTTCATAGTTTTGATGTGTTCACTATTATTCTACAATGTAGAAAATAGTAAAAATAAATGAATGAGTAGGTGTTCTAAATCTTTTGACTGGCAGACTTTTGTCTGGGGAATGCAGCTAGCAACAACATCATTGCCACATGTATTTCCGATGCCGCCCTCGCTGTGTCTGTCGTGTGTGTGTCTGTCTCACTTTGTCTTTCTCTCGCTCTTTATCTCTCCACTGTTCCTCCATTATCTTTTCCCTCTCCCCCCTGTTCTGTTCTTGTATTTTCTCTCTCTTTATCTTTATTTATCTCCAACACTCTATGGCTCCCTTCGTTCATCTCTTTTTCTTTGCATATTCATCTGATAGACATGCCTTTCTCTTATCCTTTCCTTTCCCTGTCTTATTTTCATTATTCCCTAACTTGAGAGTATCTCACAACTCATCCTCCAAAAATGACTATTGGAACAGAAACTAGGACATTTGCATTTCAGAGCAAGAATCCAACAATCCACTGGAACAAAAACTATAATGAGGGATTGTGGAAAAAGGAACAGCAAAAATAGACTAATGTGGAAAAAGTGATGGTCTTTTTCTTCCCTGTGTAAGTAGGTTATTCACAGGAAATGGAAACTTGGTAATCTGTCAATCTCTCTCTGGTCTGGTCTGGTTTGTCTAAGGCCACAGGGCGGTCTACGTCGGGGTCCATGTGCCCCTGGGCCGGGAGAGCAAACGCAGGCACCATCGCAGAGGCCACAAACATCACCGCAAGAGGCGGGAGCGGGAGGAGGACCGCGAGGAGGAGGAACGTGAGGACCCCACTTATGGTAACCAACTGAAAGTCCAGTAAAAAGCATCAGCTGACTGTTAGTAGAGGTGCTGACTTAAGGAATAGTAAACGGTGTAATAAATTAATAAAGTCAGACACTTTATATGCTGACAACAATGTAATAGGTTAACAATTTTGACCCATTAGCTGACTGTTAAAAATGTTAGTAGAGGTGCTGACTAAAGGAATATTAAACTGTAAAATAGAAAATAGAAAAAAAAGGAAGTCAGACGCTACATATGCTGACAACTATTTAATAGGTTAACAATCTTTACTCATACAATTGTTGGGAGCATATATAGAGTGTGCAACTTTCTTTCTTTTTACACAACTAACTTCTGTTCTACCTTCCGTGATGCTCCACATTCATCTCCTCATGCAATTTAATAAATGTGTGGTGGCACATACAGTGCATTCGGAAAGTATTCAGACCCCTTGACTTTTTCCACATTTTGTTACGTTACAGCCTTATTCTATAATGGATTAAATTGTTTTTTCCCCTCATCAATCTACACACAATACCCCATAATGACAAAGCAAAAACTGTTTTTTAGAAAATGGTGCTAATTTATTTTTTAAAACTGCAATATCACATTTACATAAGTATTCAGACTCTTTACTCAGTACTTTGTTGAAGCACCTTTGGCAGCGATTACAGCCTCAAGTCTTATTGGGTATGACGCTACAAGCTTGGCACACCTGTATTTGGGGAGTTTCTCCCATTCTTCTCTGCAGATCCTCTCAAGCTCTGTCAGGATGGATGGGGAGCATTGCTGCACAGCTATTGTCAGGTCTCTCCAGAGATGTTCGATGGAGTTCAAGTCAGAGACTTGTCCCGAAGCCACTCCTGCGTTGTCTTGGCTGTGTGCTTAGGGTCGTTGTCCTGTTGGAAGGTGAACCTTTGCCCCAGTCTTAGGTCCTGAGCGCTCTGGAGTAGGTTTTCATCAAGGATCTCTCTGTACTTTGCTCCGTTCATTTTCCTCTCAATCCTGACGACTCTCCCAGTCCCTGCCGCTGAAAAACATCCCCACAGCATGATGCTGCCACCAACAGGCTTCACCGTAGGGATGGTGCCAGGTTTCCTCCATACGTGACGCATGGCATTCAGGCCAAAGAGTTCAATCTTGGTTTCATCAGACCAGAGAATCTTGTTTCTTATTGTGTGAGTTCTTTATGTGCCTTTTGGCAAACTCCAAGCGTCATGTGCCTTTTATCTGAAGAGTGGCTTCTGTCTGGCCACTCTACCATAAAGACCTGATTGGTGGAGTGTTGCAGAGATGGTTGCCCTTCTGGAAGGTTCTCCCATCTCCACAGAGGAACTCTGGAGCTCTGTCAGAGTGACCATCGGGTTCTTGGTCACCTCCCTGACCAAGGCCCTTCTCCCCCGATTGCTCAGTTTGGCCGGGCGGCCAGCTCTAGGAAGAGTCTTGTTGGTTCAAAACTTCTTCTATTTAAGAATGATGAAAGCCACTGTGTTCTTGGTGACCTTCAATGCTGCAGAAATTTTTTAGTACCCTTCCCCAGATCTGTGCCTCGACACAATCCTGTCTCGGAGCTCTACGGACAATTCCTTTGACCTCATGGCTTGGTTTTTGCTCTGACATGCACTATCAACTGTGTGTGTCTTTCCAAATAATGTCCAATCAATAGAATTTACCACAGGTGGACTCCAATCAAGTTGTAGAAACATCTCAAGGATGATCAATGGAAACAGGATGCACATGAGCTCAATTTCAAGTCTCATATCAAAGGGTTTGAATACTTATGTAAATAAGGTATTTCAATTTTTTATTTGTAATACATTTGCAAACATTTCTACAAACCTTTTTTCTCTGTCATTACGAAGTATTGTGTCTAGATTGATGAGTAAAAATATTATTTAATCCATTTTAGAATAAGGCTGTAATGTAACTACATTTGGAAAAAGTCAAGGGGTCTGAATACTTTCCAAATGCACTGTATGGCTTAATAGGCTGATTCAACCTATGTTGTTAGCTTACATGCAAGTAGGCTACCATGGGCTAATTTGGACGTAATCATAAAGTTTTGGATTCACATCAACTCAAAACAACTCCCACCCCAACTTCAGCTGCTACCCTCAAGCATTCTCCCAAATAACATTTTGATTGTTATTCTCAATTATAATACTGAGTGTTGAGTCATGCTTCCTAGAGGCCAAAACAGAACCCTGTAGTGGGCAGGGGAGGGTACCTGGCACAGTCTCTCAGGCATCTGTGATTGTTTGGCTGAGCTCTTCAAATAGAGGCGGAAACATAGAGACCTATCTGTCCAGTCATTTAGAGAGAGTGTTCATGCTGTGAATGGAACATCACTCTTAAAGGCAAACCCAGGCCTCCAGGAGCAAGCAGTGACACTGATGGAGGGGACTGTGTGTGTGTGTGTGTGTGTGTGTGTGTGTGTGTGTGTGTGTGTGTGTGTGTGTGTGTGTGTGTGTGTGTGTGTGTGTGTGTGTGTGTGTGTGTGTGTCTGTGTGAGTCTACATCGGGGTCCATGTGCCGCTGGGCCAGGACAGCAAACGCAGGCACCACCGCTGAGGTCACAAACACCACACACAAACTCACACACACACACAGACACACACACAGACACAGACACAGACACACACTCACACACAGCCCCAACCGACCGGGGAAAGGGATAGACGGTCGGGATACATGACAAATTGAACTGTCTGACTGCGTTCATGCTCTCGCTCTTTTAATCTATCCAATGTCCATTCCTCTTCCAATGGTGAATTTAGCTCCTGGAAATCTGATGTTGTCGTTTTGGTGATTCACTCAAACATCACTCTTATTTCACATTTGCCTGTTACTACTCCCACACACACCTGATTATTGAACATATTTATTTATTCCCTCTTTGTAATGCAGAGGAAATCACAGCAGTCCATTCAGAAGCTAAGCACTGGATCCCGCTCCTCCCACACTCTCCTCCAGTCCTCATCTCTATATCTCTGTCCCCCCCCCCCCCCCCCCCCCCCTAGACACGCCCTCCCAGCGGGTGCAGTTCATCCTGGGTACGGAGGATGACGACGTGGAGCACATCCCCCACGACCTGTTCACCGAGCTGGACGAGCTGTCCTTCAGGGACGGGAGCGCCACAGAGTGGAAGGAGACCGCCAGGTAGGTCACAGCCGAGCCCAGGGTCCAGCCTCCACACTCCAGGGTCCATGTGACTTTATCATGTCATTCTTTGTTCATTCAGGTTTAAATTCAACTGCACTTTATTGGTACCGTAGGTTCTCCATGAAAGATTAGTTTAACTTTGCATCTTGATCATTTTGAAGTCGTCTTCTTGACTGTGGTAAAATATTCAGGGAAACCAACTTTTTAATGGCCAAAACTGTAGGCTGGTAAACTGTGGCCTTTTATAACTACCTTGAAATTGTCTTGCGGGGGCTGGGGAACGGAGAGCTATGAGATGGTGACGCGTCTTGTGTGTGAGTGGGAATGTGTTATTATGAGTAATGGGTAAGATTGACAGAGCTCTACTGCCTACAGGTCTACAGATAGATAGTCAATCTATCTTAGTCATCCTTCATTGCCATGGTACTATCACCATCTCAGACAATGCCAGCTTACGCTCACGGGCTCAGACACAAATACACAGCAATTTACCGCTCTTAAAAAAACTGGTTAAAACTGGTTTCAGTCTGACAGGAGGTAAAAGCCTAAAAAACGTAATCAAACTTTTTCCGTTACCTCTCAAAGGTGAACCACTCAAGGCAATGCAAATTGTCTGATATGTTTAGGCCTGGTCTTTTCTTCTGGTCAAGTTGTTCTTAGTTAGCATTGGGGATATTTTTCTTTATTTATAATTGTGCGTGTCTTGTGTCCGTGTCTTTGCACGTGCTTGTGCGTGTGTGTGTGTGTTTAGGTGGCTGAAGTTTGAGGAGGACGTGGAAGATGGAGGGGAGCGTTGGAGTAAGCCCTACGTAGCCACCCTGTCTCTACACAGCCTGTTTGAGCTGAGGAGCTGCATCCTCAACGGCACCGTCTTGCTAGACATGAGGGCCACCTGTATCGAGGAGATTGCAGGTACATTCATGTCAGAAGAGTTTGTGTGTATGTGTCCGTGTGTACGCTCATGTGCATGCTATATGATTAGCTAGATTTGTGTGTGCAAATGATAAACAAGGCAATAATAAAAAGTTGGTTGAATAAGGTGAAATTGAATTGATCTGTGTGTGTGTGTGTGTGTGTGTGTGTGTGCGTGCAAGTTCATTTGCAAGTGTGTTTACCAATAGTGTAAACCTCAAAATGAACAATGATACAAGGCAATACAATGCGTCCGTGTGTGTTTGTTCACGTGTGTGTCCAGACATGTTGATTGACAGCATGGTGGCGTCTGGCCAGCTGGAGGAGGAGCTGCGTCAGAAGGTGCGTGAGGCCGTGTTGAAGAGACACCACCACCAGAACGAGAGGAAGCTCAGCAACCGCATCCCGCTGGTGCGCTCAATCGCAGACATAGGCAAGAAACATTCAGACCCGTTGTTGCTTGAGAGAAACGGTGAGATCCCCTGCGCCGCGCACACTCCATTTATTTTTCCTCGATCCTCGAGGGGTTTCAAATCATCTTTGTAATCCTTGGTATCCCAAAAAAGGAACGGTGATAGCATCTCCCACATACACTCTTAGAAAAAAGGGTTCCAAAAAGGTTATTCAGCTGTCCCCATAGGAGAACCATTTTTGGTTCCAGGTAGAACTATTTTGGGTTCCATGTAGAACCCTCTGTGGAAAGGGTTCTACATGAAACTCAAAAGGGCTCTACGTGGAACCAAAAAGGGTTCTCCTATGGGGACAGCCGTTGAACACTTTTAGGTTCTAGATGGAATCCTTTTCTCTAAGAGTGTATCACCACAACAATCATGTATGTAATGTATGCCATTTAGCAGACACTTTTATTCAAAGTGACTTACAGTACAGTGAGTACGTACATTTTAGTATGTGTGGCCCCAGCGGAATTGGTCTTACCAACTGAGCCACACAAGACCAAATCCATCACGGCAGTTCAGGAGGTGTCAAACTAATGATGTGAGTAGATGCTACAATGAGGATATAAGCTTCATAGAGACAACTACTACCCCCCACCGTGAAAGATAAATCTAGGTGCGGATGGTGCGAGCATGTGTGGCTGGCCGGGCTCAGGGTTTGGCCTCTGAGAATTAACAATGGCTTCTACTCCATGTTGGAATGGTTGGGGTAATGCTCTTCTTGCAGTTCGATATGTTTGGTTTGCTGAGCATGACCTCAGGGTGTGGTGTGTACTCAGAGTATGGTGTGTGACTGTTTATGTCCTACTGTCATTGAATGCCATGTCGCCTGTGTATAAAATACGTGTGAAATGTCATATATTAATGTGCTACACAATCATAGTAAGTAATTGCACAGCTTGGACAGAAATATGACTGGTTTATGTGTGGTTCTGTATTTGTTTGTACAGTATACTGTACACTGACACTGTGCTAACCAACCCTCACCTCTTCTCTTGCCTGCAAGCATCCCTCTACCCAAAATGCTCTCCCTCAGTCTGTCACTGTGTGATTGGTGAGCGCACAAGCCTATTGGTCCGTGTGGACACCTCCCCTCTCTCACCTTTCCCCTGCAAGAACCTCTCGGCACCTCTGTCTCTCTCTAACCACACTCCTCCCAAGCTCCCACCACCTACCTTCTCTCTCTGCCCCCAGAGAATGCACCCCTAAAACCACCTCTCTGATGAAATCCTCCCTCATATGTTTCTCCTTTTACCATCTCCCCCTTTTTCCTCCCTCCTCCCGTTCTTCTCTCCCTCTTCTCCCTTCTTTGTTGTTGTGTCTTCCCGCCGCTCCAGGGGAGGGCCTCTCTGCCTCCCGCCACTCCCTGAAGCCGGGGTCCTCCGTCTCCAACCTGTCCCAGAGGCGAGAGTCCCGGGTGTCCGTCCTCCTCAACCTCCTTCTGCCTAACTCCTCCTCCTCCACCTCCGCTGGGGGGCCTTCCCCCGGACCCTCGCCCCTCACCACCCCCCAGAACACGCCCCCTACTCCCCGCCGCTCCCCAGACCCTCCCTGCGCCCCTGGCCCCGCCCCGGGCCCCCAGGCCATCCCGGAGGTGGTGGTGTCACCGCCTGAGGACGACGAGTCGCCACCCACCGCCATTACGAAGGATGAGGAGGCGTCTCCCACTCGGCAACCGTCGCTGCAGACTAAAGGGCTCCAGCAGCTGCCCTTAGAAGGCAAATATCTGTGTAGCCTGCCAGTGTGAGTCACGGCTTGAACAGAGAAAACTAGCACCAGCATGCTGGCTGTGCCCTCCTTCCCTACCCTACTACAAATCCATTATCAACCCACAGCAAGGCTTTTTATACCCCTCCTCTATTAACTCAACAAGACCTCACACTGTTTCCCTCTACCTCATTCCTTTCTTGCATACCTCTCTGTCTCTGTTTCTCAAGTTTAGTCTATCAAATCATTTTATTTATTGTACACATTCCTTTCTCTCTCTGTCTCCACCTTTCTTCATTCAGCCCTTCCACACTACCCCCACCTTGCTTGGCTTGGACCCTCCACTTCTCTCTGCTCAGTGTGTGTGCATGGCTCTCCTCGAAAATGTGTTTCATAATTTACCATACCATAGTTCTGCAGGGTCCGACATTAACGATGGCCCGCTGCCGCAGGACCAGTAAAAACGTGTCGAGCCAGTGGATCTCCTCAGTCACTGGCCTGACCGGGCCAGTAACTTCTCAGTGCATTTTGGCGTTCCAATTTGACATTTACCTGCTATGTAATCTCTCATGGGCATATCTACGTAAACCCTTCCCTTTTTCCACATTTTGTTACGTTCCAGCCTTATTCTAAAATGTATTACATTCTTTTTCCCCCTCATCAATACCCCATAATGACAAAGTGAAAACAGGTTTTTAGAGATTTTTGCAAATGTATTTAAAATAAAAAACAGAAATACCTTATTTGCATAAGTATTCAGCCCATTTGCTATGAGACTTGAAATTGAGCTCCGGTGCATCCTGTTTCCATTTATCATCCTTGAGATGTTTCTAAAACTTGATTGGAGTCCACCTGTGGTAAATTCAATTGATTGGAAATGATTTGGAAAGGCAAACACCTGTCTATATAAGGTCCCACAGTTGACAGTGCATGTCAGAGCAAAAACCAAGCCATGAGGTTGAAGGAGTTGTCCGAGCTCCGAGACAGGATTGTGTCGAGGCACAGATCTGGGGAAGGGTACCAAAAGATGTCTGCAGCATTGAAGGTCCCCGAGAACACAGTGGCCTCCATCATTCTTAAATGGAAGAAGTTTAGAACCACCAAGACTTCCTAGAGCTAGCTGCCCGGCCAAACTGAGCAATCGGGGGAGAAGGGCCTTGGTCAGGGAGGTGACCAAGAACCTGATGGTCACTCTGACAGAGCTCTAATGTTCCTCTGTGGAGATGGGAGAACCTTCCAGAAGGACAACCATCTCTGCAGCACTCCACCAATCAGGTCTTTATGTTAGAGTGGCCAGACGGAAGCCACCCCTCAGTAAAAGGCACATGACAGCCTGCTTGGAGTTTGCCAAAAGGCACCTAAAGACTCTCAGACCATGAGAAACAAGATTCTCTGGTCTGATGAAACCAAGATTGAACTCTTTGGCCTGAATGCCAAGTGTCACGTCTGGAGGAAACATGGCACCATCCCTACTGTGAAGCATGGTGGTGGCAGCATCATGCTGTGGGGATGTTTTTCAGCGGCAGGGATTGGGAGATTAGTCAGGATCGAGGCAAAGATTAACTGAGCAGAGAGATCCTTGATGACAACCTGCTCCAGAGCGCTCAGGACCTCAGACTGGGGCAAAGGTTAACCTTCCAACAGGACAACGATCCTAAGCAGACAGCCAAGACAACGCAGGAGTGGCTTCGGGACAAGTCTCTGAATGTCCTTGAGTGGCCCAGCCAGAGCCCGGACTTGAACCCGATCGAGCATGTCTGGAGAGACCTGAAAATAGCTGTGCAGCAACGCTCCCCATCCAACCTGGCAGAGCATGAGAGGATCTGCAGAGAAGAATGGGAGAAACTCCCCAAATACAGTTGTTCCAAGGTTGTAGCGTCATACTCAAGAAGACTCGAGGCTGTAATCGCTGCCAAAGGTGCTTCAACAAAGTACTGAGTAAAGGGTCTGAATACTTATGTAAATGTGACATTTCCGGTTGGTTTTAAATATATAAATGAGCAAAAATTTCTAAAAACCTGTTTTTCCTTCGTCATTATGGGTTATTGTGTGTAGATTGATGAGGGAAAAAATCAATTTAATAAATTTTAGAATAAGGCTGTAACGTAACAAAATGTGGAAAAAGTCAAGGGGTCTGAATACTTTCCGAAGGCACTGTAACTGGTACGTAGAATCTGTTGGGAAGGAATGGGATGTGTGGGATAGCGAACAGCAGTAGTTCTGGTGTTAGGGTTTTTCGTCACTGGTTATTTGGACAAATCATGATTTCGTAGGTGTAAGCTTCTTTTGAATTTCGGAAGGGTAAGGGAACATTCGGCGCGTAACTTGCAAAGAGAGAGGGTGAAGCTCCTCGTTCTAGCATCTCTTCATCTCTTCTCTTAACACGTATGGACCCAGAACTTAATCGAGCAGCTAACTAATTACATGAAGCTTTAGTTCGGGGTTTAGCTGAGATTACCTGCTGTGTCGCAGTTTTGAAAACCATTGAAGACTGACTACACGCGGAAAAGTCATGCTATTTGAATTTGAGCAATATGACTGGCCATTCATTCAACCACGCTGATCGCGAGTCACAACTTCTCGAGCAGTACATAAGTTGATGCACTCACATGGCACTCGCAAGCCGTCCAGAGTAAAAAGAAGCTCTCACCAATCAATTTACTTTAGGGAAATTGATTTACAAAAATAAACTTTCAATAGTGAACATACTAGCAGTATGCTGGCTACTATTGATAGTCTGCACAAAGAAAGCTACAAAAATACACCTAGCATTTGTCTTGGCTTGCCTACTGTAGCCAGATCAATATCTTCTCTTTTGAAACACAGTTGTCTTAAATGGGCACCGTCCTATTTTGAGATGTCAAAAAATATTCTCAAAATGACATACTTTAGAAACAAAGTGAATGCAATTAATACAAAGCAATTCTAAATAATTATATCACTAGATTCTATTACACAGCGTTTTAATACCATAATAACCAAATGTAGCCTAATGCTAGCTGAATATAGGCAATGCATTTTAACTACACCATGTCCAGGCCAGTAGAAATTCTGTTCAGGCCAGTAGATTTTTGGCCAATAGTAAGAAAAAAAGGATCATGTTGGACCCTGGTTCTGTGATATTTCTTTGTCCACTTTTTCCTTGTAAACCTTTTTTTCATTCAGTCCTAAAATGAAACCTGAAGGGCTTTAATCATTTTACATTTTAGTCATTTAGCAGACGCTCTTATCCAGAGCGACTTACAGGAGCAATTAGGGTTAAGTGCCTTGCTCAAGGGCACATCAACAGATTTTTCACCTAGTTGGCTCTGGGATTAGAACCAGCGACCTTTCAGTTACTGGCACAACGCTCTTAACCACTACTGCACATTTTCCATCCCTTATTTTCCATCCCTTGAGGGCCTGTTTAATCCAGTCAGTGTAAGAGTTGAGACGCCAGACTCGCCACTATGGCAACAGGTCTCATATCATGGTGTATCTTCCCAGCTATAACTGTCACTGCTCTGCATGACTGTCCAATTGTGAATATACAGTCAGGACAGACTTAAACAACTTAAAACATCTTGTCTTTTTCCAGGGCAGCATCGTTTGGCATCTCTCCTCCATAATTCCTGAGTATAAACACACAGATGTCTCGGAGACGTTTTCCCCATTAAGAGTCTAGCGAGAGACTCCTACATGTGCAAATAGCATGCTAAATATAAAGCCATACAGTGGGGTTGGGGTGGGAGGGTTGTAACGTTGGAACGTATCTCTCTCAGTCCCAGTGTCATCCACTGTGACTTTTTGTCTTTAGCCCCTGTATTTATAGCAGTGTGTGTAGAAGAGTGCTGAACTGGAAGGTTGGGTCATGACAACTAGAGACTGCTGGTTTGGAGGGAAACATGATTTAAGGTGGGCAGCTGGTTGTCTTATTATAAGTACTAGTGTGGTTCTGTAATCTTCCATTACTTCAGTCTAGAAAGACAACGTTTGCCGAGAAACTATATAATGTACTTGACCACGTTGTGTGTATCGCTCAAGTGAAGTTTGAATCCCATCCTTGACAACATTACAACATTACAACAACAAACGATATACTACGTACTTACTTCACCTCGTTCTGAGTATCGTTCATTTGAGTTTGAATCCCATGCTTGCATAGACAGGCAGTTAAGGATGATTTGTAGGAGCTATTAGAAGCATTCAAAGAAAAGAACAACCTCCCTACAATCAAAGATGGCGAAGTTTGATAATGCTGGGTGGTTGCTTTGCTGCCTCTGGACTGGGGACCTTGAACGTGCACAAAGCACAATGAATCTGCAGACTATCAGGTGTTTTGGAGAGCAATGTTCAACCCAGTGTCCAAAAATTGGGTCTCCATTGAAGGTTGTGTGTCTTCCAGCAGGACAATGACCCCAAACACGCATCCAAAAGCACCCAGGAATGGTTCAAGAAGAGATGATGGACTGTAATGGAGTGGCCAGAGAAGAATCCAGATCTTACTCCCATCTAAAACTTATTGCAAGATCTGAAAACAGCAGTTGGTGGAGGGCACCCCTCAAACATTGAAGGATTAGAGAGGTTTGCTGCTAACAAGTGGGCCAAATGACCAGTAAAAGGTTCAGCAAGCTCATTGATTGCTGCAAGAAGCATTTGTCTGCAGTTATCTTGGCCAAAGGCTGTGCAACCAAGTACTAGCTCCGGGATGCCAATACTTTTGTCCATGTCATTTGTCTTTCTTTTCTAAATTAAAATTATAAACTCGATAAAGTTTACAAAAATAAAATTGGTTCTGCAATGTTGAATGCTGAGTGTACAAAACAGTATACTGCTTTTTCCATGACAGACTGACCAGGTGAATCCAGGTGAAAGCTATTCCTCATGAAATCCACTTCAATCAGTGTAGATGAAGGGGAGGAGACGGGTTAAAGAAGGATTTTTAAGCCTTGAGACAATTGAGACATGGATTGTGTATTTGTGCCATTCAGAGGGTGAATGGGCAAGACAAAATATTTTGTGCCTTTGAACGGGTTATGGTAGTAGGTGCCAGGCACACCGGTTTGAGCATGTCAAGAACTGCAACACTGCTGGGTTTTTCACGCTCAACAGTTTCCCGTGTGTATCAAGAATGGTCCACCACCCAAAGGACATCCAGCCAACTTGACATAACTGTGCGAAGCATTGGAGTCAACATGGGCCAGCATCCCTGTGGAACCCTTTCGACACCTTGTAGAGTCCATGCCTCGACGAATTGAGGCTGTTCTGAGGGCAAAAGGGGCTGCAACTCAATATTAGGAAAGTATGTGGACACTGCTTCAAATTAGTGGATTCTGCTATTTCTGCCACTACTGTTTCTGACAGGTGTATAAAATCGAGCACACAGCCATGCAATCTCTATAGACAAACTTTGGCAATAGAATGGCCTTACCGAAGAACTTCGTGACTTTCAACGTGGCACCGTCATGGGATGCCACCTTTCCAACAAGTCAGTTAGTCAAATTTCTGCCCTGCTAGTGCTGCCACGGTCAACTGTAAGTGATGTTATTGTGAAGTGGAAATGTCTAGGAGCAACAATGGCTCAGCTGCGAAGTGGTAGGCCACACAATCTCACAGAACGGGACCACCGAGTGCTGAAGCACGTAGCGCGTAAAAATCGTCTGTCCTTGGTTGCAACACTCACTACCGAGTTCCAAACTGCCTCTGGAAGCAATGTCAGCACAATAACTGTTTGTCGGGAGCATCATGAAATGGGTTTCCATGGCCGAACAGCCGCACACAAGCCGCACACATCGCCATGCGCAATGCCAAGCGTCGACTGGAGTGGTGTAAAGCGCGCCGCCATTGGAGTCTGGAGCAGTTGAAACACGTTCTCTGGAGTGATGAATCACGCTTCACTATCTAGCAGTCCGGCGGACGAATCTGGGTTTGGCGGATGACAGGAGAACGCTACCTGCCCCAATGCATAGTGGAGGAGGAATAATGGTCTGGGGCTGTTTTTCATGATTCGGGCTAGGCCCCTTAGTTCCAGTGAAGGGAAATCTTAACGCTACAACATACAATGACATTCTAGACGATTCTGTGCTTCCAACTTTGTGGCAACAGTTTGGGGAAGGCCCTTTCATGTTTCAGCATGACAATGCCCACGTGCACAAAGCGAGGTCCATACAGAAATGGTTTGTCGAGATCGGTGTGGAAGAACTTCACTGGCCTTCAGCGAGCCAGGCCTAATTGCCCAACGTCAGTGCCCGACCTCACTAATGCTCTTGTGGCTGAATGAAGTAAGTCCCTGCAGCAATGTTCCAACATCTAGTGGAAAGCTATCCCAGAAGAGTGGAGGCTGTTATAGCAGCAAAGGGGGGATCAACTCCATATTAATGCCCATGATTTTGGAATGAGATGTTCGACGAGCAGGTGTCCACATACTATATATATATCTTTTTTTTTGTAAACTTATTTTAGAAGAAATAGGGAATTATTTATGAAAAGTGCAAGGGTGCAAATTATTTGGCCGCAACTGCAACTGTGTGTACTCACCTTTTGACTGCCGGATTCTCTAGTAAGAACTGTCTAATGAGCTGTATAATGCCACGGCAGCACTCATGCGACACATAACATGTAGTGTCAGCTCTTAGTATGCAGATGAAGACAAATGATCATAGAGTCAGTCGTTTTTGTCCTCAGTGTGCCCCTGGGTTTGGAATGATATGATTTGATTATTCGGACTCGTTTGCATATGGACCGTGGCCGGGGGTCCAGCATGGAGCCCACATTCCGGGCTTTATCTTCCTGAATGAAGTGTGTCCGCGGATGCTTCTGTTCATCCCAACATGGCTGCATAGTAGACCACAGCGCCGGGTTACAACAGGTCACAGGTCAAGGATGACCACAAGGAGGAAACTGTCACCCATTCATATTCATTTGAACATTCATCTACATTCTAGGTGATTGAGACAGATGGAGTGGAGTGTGTATGGTTGCTATGTTACAATTTATTCATTTTTGTGGTCATTTCCTCAATGCACGTCTCCCTCGCTGAAGTGCTGGCATTTCCTGTGTACGGCTCACCTCACATGGCTATAGGGCACATTGAAGTGGGGAGGCGGATGTGCAATTGCCTTTATCACTGCAGGCCATAATGAATTTTCATTATGTTATCAATTTGTTAAGGTTTTTGAGAGTGTATAAATCAAACTATGTATCATACTATTTTGCAGTATGCATCTGTAGTCTGTGCCTATACAAGAGAACCTGTTGAAAAATAATTGCAATTAATTTATCACAGTATAGCTACATCATTTCTGTATAGATTAAGGCTTCTCAAATGTTCAAGAGAAGAACCTGTATTGTGTTTTGATGCTTTGCAAACTCTCTGCAGAAAAACACAATATTATCAAATGTAGGCATTCTAATGTCAGAGTATCCATGAGAATGCACTGAGCAGCAGGTGCCTCGGTCCTCCAGAGCTGACATTGCTAACACTCTTCTGCCGCTATCCCGTCTGTCGTTCCAGGGCCACTGATGTCCACGCACTCTGTCCCCAGTAACCTGGATAGCAGCAGCAAGACCGGAGACAGGAGGCCCTCCAAAGCTGGGGTCAGTAAAGAGAACAGCAGTGTGGACTTCAGCAAGGTAACCCCTGCTACTGGGCAAAGAAACCCCCTCATCATAAGCAACTCTCATCCAGACGTCCAAGACAACCATCATCAATCACAGCCCTTACTCTCTGGGCATAAGAAACACCACCCACTCCCTGCCTTCTAGAACCAAGAGCCAGTCTCAAAGTAAACTGTACATTTGGTTAAGTGAGCTCTTATCCCTTATTATATCCCTTTACGACTATAATATAAGTAGGCTGGCGGCCGTGAGGAGTCATCAGCTTCAAACCAGCTTTCATGGGTCCTCTGTAGCTCAATTGGTAGAGCATGGCGCTTGTAACGCCAAGATAGTGGGTTCGATCCCCGGGACCACCCATACGTAAAAATGTATGCACACATGACTGTAAGTCGCTTTGGATAAAAGCGTCTGCTAAATGGCATATTATTATTATTATGTGTATGCCAAGAAACAACCTCATACTTGCTGGGGGAGTCTAATCAAAAGAGGGAGGAGAGGGAGACAGAGAGTGTGTGTGTTTGTGGAAAAGAGAGCGATGCAGATATTACCCATCTCAGTTGGCAAGGTCACCCAGCTCTGTTACATAGTTCAAACAAACAACCTTGTGATGAAAGGGACTCCTTTGCTCAGTACTGGCCTTTATAGCTTTCCTCTACGCCACTAACAACGTAGCTTCCCGCAACCCTAGCATCCATCCATAACTGCTATCTGCCACTAAGCATGATCCCTCCAAACCCAGTCATTCCTTCCTTTCATTTGAAGTCTCTCCCTACTCTGTTGTGCCCATTGGGCTCCAGGTAGATATGACATAACATATATATTTTTACTCGGCTTGATTTGTTATACCAGTGTTTCCCAATATAGAGCTGCATTCTCATGTGCATCCCGCGGGACCTGCGGGCCCAGACAGAGATCATAGCGGCGTGGTTGGCATTTTTCATGCTATGGGCGGGAGTGGGCGGTCAGACAGACAACTTTGGGATGAAAATATATGTTATAGTCCCACAGATTATTTCGAACGGTTGTCTTTCTGTTTTGTATGTGTTATCTATTGTATTAAAAGCACCTCTGTAACACAATTCACAAACTCTTATAGGCTAATTCTGCTTCAAGTTCAGTAGCCTACCTCTCCTCTCTTTTGTTGGGCGTGCGAGAACAATTGCGCCTATGTGTGGTCTCAATTAAATAGCCTGTAGCCTATAGGTATAGGCAGAGAAGCACGGCACAGTTGTCTTTCCATGGAAAATGACTTCCTAAATATGATAGGCTATAGTTTAGGCTCCGACATTGACTGGTAATAAATATTGATAAAACATTTATTTGTCTACCTGCAAATCGTCCTGCTTCTATTAAAGTTTTGCAAGAGTATTTCAAAACGGTTAGTCTTTCTGTTTTGTATGCTATGCGTTATCTAAATTGCTGGGACCGGGGCTGCAAAGCAAGCAGTGTTACATACACCTACATTGCTGGACTGTGGTCAGGTTCGGGACCAGTTCTTGCGGGAGTGGGTGGGAGTTGGACAAGAAGTCAGCAGGAGAGGGCGGGCGCGGTAAGAAAAGTAGTAGGTGTCCTCTATTTCCCAATCCTGGTTCTGGAGACCCAAAGGGATGCACATTTTAGTTTTTATTCAACTAATCAACTCATCATGAAGCCTTTGATTATTTAAATCAGGTGTGCTAGTGCTAGGGAAAAAAATAAAATAAATGTGCACACCTTTGGGTCCCCAGGACCAGGATTGGGAGACAGTGTCTTATATAGTTGTTACTCCCTAAAGTCTCTCTCTCTGTCCCATTCCGCTCCTTTAGGTGGACATGAACTTCATGAAGAAGATTCCTCCGGGCGCCGAGGCATCCAACGTGCTGGTAGGGGAGGTGGACTTCCTAGAGAGGCCCATCATCGCCTTCGTACGCCTGTCCCCCGCCGTCCTCATCACAGGGCTCACGGAGGTGCCTGTGCCCACCAGGTAGGTACATTACATCTCTCTACACCCTCTTTCACTGCTCTTTCTCTGTCTAACCTGCTGGTTCTAGATTTTATTTTTGCACCTGCTCCCCTACCAGTAGCCTAAACCATTTGTACTAAATGATGTTGGGTTTTGAATACAATTCATTGTATCTGCCTATACCTGCCCATCTACATATATTTGCATTCAGTCTAATGTGTGAAAATGGTTTGTGTCCCATACAGGTTTTTGTTTTTGCTGCTGGGTCCACACGGTAAAGGCCCTCAGTACCATGAGATTGGCAGATCCATGGCCACACTAATGACAGATGAGGTGAGAGGATGGAAGATGTTTTACGTGCTGTTGTTTGTGCAATTATCCTTATAGTCTTATGAAGATTAGTAACATTCAGTCATAAACATTAATTAGCTCCCCCCACATGCATAGAATATAATAACTCATTTGTGTAACTTTTTCCCTTCAGGGGGATCTTTAGGTGTGGCATTCAGATTAGATCAATTTTAAGATCATTAGATCAAAATGTAAAAGCTATACTCTTTTCTGCATTTCTCTGTAGATATTCCATGATGTGGCGTACAAGGCCAAAGACCGGACTGACCTTCTGTCTGGGATAGATGAATTTCTGGACCAGGTGACAGTCCTGCCCCCAGGAGAATGGGACCCTACAATACGAATCGAACCCCCCAAGAACGTCCCATCACAGGTGAGGGTCTAAGTTGACAATGTGCTCTGCCTATAAACAGAAAATAAAAAAACACATAAATAAACAGAAAATCAACATGTCTGAAATTAAGCCTGATTTTAGATGATTGGTCACATATTTAGTGCTCTTCAATCTTGATCCTGGAGAACCACAAGAGGTGCAGGCTTTTGTTTCAGCCTAGCACTAACACAGTTGATTAAACTAATCAAGGGTTTGATGATTAGTTGAATCAGATGTGTTGGAAATATAGCCTGCACCACCTGTGGGTCCCCAGGATTGAAAAACGCTGGCTTGCATGGTAGTTTTCTATGATGTTTCCATGATGTGTATGACTGCGCCTCCTGGTGGCAGTAGAGGATAACATCCCTGTAATAACTTCAAATTAAATGAAATTGTATTTGTCACATGCGGCGAATACAACAGGTGTAGTAGACCTTACCGTGAAATGCTTACAAGCCCTTAACCAACAATACAGTTCAAGAAATAGAGTTAAGAAAATATTTACTAAATAAACTAAAGTAAAAAATAAAATACAAAGTAACACAATAAAATAACAATAACGAGGCTATATACAGGGGGTACCGGTACCGAGTCAATGTGCAGGGGTACAGGTTAGTCGAGGTAATTTGTACATGTAGGTGTGGGTAAAGTGACTATGCATAGATAATAAACAGCAAGTAGCAGCAGTGTAAAAACAAAGGGGGGGGGGTCAATGTAAATAATCCAGGTGGCCATTTGATTAATTGTTCAGCAGTCTTATGGCTTGGGGGTGGAATCTGTTAAGGAGCCTTTTGGACCTAGATTTGGCGCTCCGGTACCACTTGCCGTGCATTAGCAGAGAAAACAACTTAGTCATGCGTGCATGAATTTTCGTATGGGGGGCCCCAGCGGGAATCGAACCCATAACCTTGGCGTGGCCAAAGCCATGCTCTACCATCTGAGCCAAACCTATAAAGGCTCTCTCACTTGTAGATGAAGAGGAAGATTCCTACCCAGCCCAACGGGTCACCCTCACCCTCTGGGGAGATGTTGAAGGAGGAGGATGAAGGCCACGGAGCTGGGCCCGAGCTGCAGAGAACCGGACGGTGAGCTATACATATGAATTCATTGGGGAGGTTTCCGGGACACAGATTAAGCTTAATTCTGGACCTGAAAGCATTTTCAAATGAGCTTGCTTTTAGGTCCAGGACTAGGCTTAATCTGTGTCTGGGAAACTGCCCCATATAGAAGAGTTGATAAGGGTAAATCTCAAATGACACCCTATTTCTTACATATAGTTCTGATGAACAGTAGTGGACTACCATAAATGTGGAATAGGGTATCATTTGAGACACTGCCTAAGACTTGTCTAGTATTGGATATATATATATATTTTATAGTATGGCATGACATAGGCAATATGTTGTAAAACTCTTTTTTAAACTGTTTAATAGTAATAAAAATGCATTTTATTCTTGATGAAATTCATTACACATGTATAAGGTAATCCATTATTGAAACTGTTTATGAAGGCAAAATTAACAACATACAGTGCTCACATACTGTGACAAGTCATATAGATCATTATCACTGCACTGCACACTTTTGAATTGAATTGAATTTATTTTGGGTAAATAAAATGTACAATGTGGACCCAGAGGATATCACTTGAAAGTAGTAATTAAAACGCTTGTTTCCAAAGTGGTCCTCGATGGTAAAACAATAACACATATAATGATTAAAAGACAAGACAAAATTACAAACAACCATAAATACATTCATGTATATTGACATCCTAAAAAGTGGCACTATTCACTGCACTTTTCCCTAACCTTAAAAATCAACCATATTCATTTCACATTAAAACAATCTATTCATTGCACATCATACCTATCGTTCAAATAAATACACCTGACCAGCAGTCAGTGGTCTGAAAAAGAGAATGCAGGTCATGCAACATAATGTTATCTGGTATATGCTGAATGTTCCCCCTAGGACCAACATAGGGGTACAGGAGTTCCGGGAGGTGGGCTTGTTGCCTTTGGAGTCCGGAGTGGACCAACTTAAACTTCATCATATGTTTGACATCTTAAATGATCGTGCCCCAAGTTATATGAAAAACCACATTGATATGGTCTATAACCAACACAGTTACAATACCAGAGCAAGTTTTATGTCTTGTAAGATCCCATGAGTAAACAGTACTGCGAGGAGCACGTTTGTGCTCGAGAAGGTATCCCTCAAGTTGATTAAAAACGAATCTCTCAACAACTTTGGATAAGGTGCTGAGGATCGACATAGGCCTGTAGTTTCCTACATTTGTTTTACTGCTCTTCTTGTGGAGCGGAACCACCCGGGCTGTTTTGAAATCATTGGGAAATGTACCACTACTAATAGAAAGGTTTACAATATGCGTTATCATTTTAGCAGTAACACAAGCACTATCCTTTATGAATCTTGCAGGAAGGTTATCCAGCCCAGTTGCTTTGTTAAGCATAGTAGATTGGAAACTTTGCCACCATGCCCAGCTCAAACTTTACAATTACGATGCTGACATAAATAGATACTCTATGTGTGAAAGCCTCTGAGATCACATGGCTTCCCTGCTGGTAGAGTGTGTTTATTTGTGACCTCACTCCCCCATGACACACACCTCGCAGACTGGACACTGCATTATTTACCCCTCTGCATATCCATTCTCTGCGTGCTGCTATAAAAAGCCACATGCCGGCAGAGAACGACAGAGAGAGGTAGAGGGGGAAGGAGAGAGAGAGAGAGAGAGAGAGGGAGAGGGGGAAGGAGAGAGAGAGAGAGAGAGATAGAGAGAGAGAGAGCGAGAGCAGAGCGAGAGGCGAGAGAAACGAGAGAGCCGAGAGCGATAGAGAGAGAGCGCGCTACGATGAAGAGTCTAGCGAGGAGAGAGACTTCTCGCGAGCGATAAGAGCTAGGCACGAGAGAGCGAGCAGAGTCGAGCGAGGAAGAGCACGAGAGAGAGAGAGAGACTTTACGGGGTGTTAGGCAGTCCCTGAACACACAAAGTGGTGGTGACTTAGAGCTGAGAGTGGTGGGTTGAGTGTGTTTGTGTAAGGTAGCTGAGTGTGTGTGTGAAGTAGAAACATGTGTGTAAATGTGTTGAGTGGTATCTGGGTCAGAGAGCAGGAGTGTGTGTCCAACCCCGGTGGGAAAATAACAGGCTTCCCCTCAGCAAGGATCCTAGCTCTAAGCATCACAGTTAGGAAATTACCATTAACCAAAGATCTCTAAAATGTAAATTAATTATTGTAAAAAGTGTCCAAAAATGTGTACCACCAATTAACTACCATTCACATGCTGTGATGGCCCAAAAAAGTTATCTGGGGGCTCCCAAAAATAATCTGCCAGACCCTATTGATGGTAGGGTTGTTCGATACCAGGTTTAGTATCATGATACTCCATACCAAAACGATACCAAGGCAAAAAAACAAACAACGTATTAGCCAAGGTCACAGAATAACCTTTGGGCATCTTTTGAGTTGTTGTCGTACTTTGTGTGAAGTTCTAACTTCTAGCACAGATGTAATGGTAGGCTGACTCGCTGTAGCTGATGTGGTGGTGGCACTTGACTTCTGTAGTTAAAATAAGAGAAATCAATAATGACGTGGACATTAGCCTAAAATCCATCTACAAAACCATATATGAGCATATAAACATTTTACAATTAAATTGACTAACTGTTTTAAAATGTAATTCAATACATATCAGGGTAAATGTACTCATCCATGGTGATAATATTGGGTCAAATTATACTGAACAAAAATATAAACGCAACATGCAACAATTTCAAAGATTTTAAACCCACCGCCACCATGAGGCACTCTGTTCACAACGTTGACATCAGCAAAGCACGTGCCCACACGACGCCATACATGTGGTCTGCGGTTGTGAGGCCGGTTGGACGTACTGCCACGTTCTCTTATGGTAGAGAAATGAACATTAAATTATCTGGCAACAGTTCTGGTAGACATTCCTGCAGTCTGCATTCCAATTGCACTGTGGCATTGTGTTGTGTGACAAAACTGTTGTGAGGCCCATTTTTTTGTGCAAATTGTTGCATGTTGCATTATATTTTTGTTCAGTATAAATGTCGAACTGGAACGCCAAATGTGCTGAGAAGTTAAGCTACTGGTCCGGTCAACATATTACTAGACAGGCTTGATCATCTCAGTCAGTGTACAACGTGAGACACACTTGATAGAAGAACCAAAAGTAACACATTCTAGTACCGAACCATTTCTCCTGTTACAGGATCAAAAAGTACCTACATTTTGGTGTACTGTGCAACACTAGTTGATGTTCTGAAAAAGTTATCTGTGGGTCCTAAAACATCTCTGGGAGACCAATAGATCCAAAAGAGTTATCTCGAAGTCCAAGAATGTGTTCCCACTGGGCACAGACGTCAATAACGTCTATTCCGCGTTGGTTCAACGTAATTTCATTGAAAAGACGTGGAAACAACGTTGATTCAACAAGTGTGTGCCCAGTGGGTTGTATGGTCCCCTGTATGGTCCAAAAACCATAGTCTAAGGATGTAATCTGGTAGTCATCTGGTATACTTCACCACACTAGTATAATGCTTCTACTGCTGTAAAGTGCTGTGGTTTTTCCCTTCCTCCAGGATCTTTGGAGGCCTGGTGATGGATGTAAAGCGGAAGGCCCCGTTCTACTGGAGCGACATCCGGGACTCGTTGAACCTGCAGTGTCTGGCCTCCATTCTGTTCCTCTACTGCGCCTGCATGTCCCCTGTCATCACCTTCGGAGGGCTGCTGGGCGAGGCCACTAAAGGAAACATAGTAAGTAGTTCCTTGTCCATGAGTGTCAATGAATGCCACTCCGATTGCATCTGTCTGTCTTCTGTCTGTTCTGTATGCAAGTCACTTAGCTGCCTGGTAAAACTGGTTTAACCAGGCTACAAGTCAATGTAAGCCTTGCACCAATTATGTATAACTTTACCAAAAGGTCTTACCCTAAGGTCTTACCCTATTTGCTTATTACTATATACAAATATCACTAAAAGCATATAGAATTTGTATCGCTATAAGCAAATAGGATGTGATTAGACAGTGTCCCTCTTCCTCACTGCGAGCTACTCTATATACGGTCTCCATGCTTTGATCCTGACAATGAGTTCCACACACACACCCTACAGTAACCCCAGATATCTTTATTAGGAGGGAGACTGTTGGCATAGCTAGCGTCAGCATGCCGGGGTGTGTGATGCGTCTGAGTAAACTCATTCGAAGACGAGTGGCGGAGGGATATGAGTACAGACAGGCCGACGGGGTGGAAGAAGTAAAGCAGTTTAGCTAGACTGTCTGATGCTAGGCAGCCTTAGCTGGAATGTCGGTTTAAACTGATGTGCTATGTGGGGTGTTCTGTCTGCTTTATCTCTTTTCCCCTTAGTCTCTCCCTCTCTCTGGTTTCCTCTATGTATTTACCTCCTCCTCTTCCTCCTCTTCCTCCCCTTCTCACTCCTTCTTTCCCTCCCTCTCTTCTCTTGCTACAGAGTGCCATAGAGTCTCTGTTTGGGGCATCCCTCACAGGAGTGGCCTTCTCTCTGTTTGCGGGGCAGCCCCTCACTATACTGGGCAGTACGGGGCCTGTCCTAATTTTCGAGAAGATCCTCTTCAAGTTCTGCAAGTGAGTGCTAAACCGTATCCTCTTTACACTATCATTCGCACTGTGGCCCTCTGGTGGTAGCAACCTGCAAGTACAAGCTCACCACTGCCATTTGGGGATTTCTAATTTGTTTCTGATCAGTAACTAGTTATGAAAGAAGTTGGGACAGGCTCAAGGTCATTTATTGATGAATCCTCAATCATTTCATAAGGCATAGTCAGAGTGATTGCCCCTACAACGGTCATAACCTCTATGCTTTGAGCTCACTACTTGCAGTACCTAATAAGATATGAATATGAAAATACACTGAAAACATCCAAAATATACATACAACTAAAATCTACAGTACAATGCCTTGTAAAGTTGACATTGAGGTTAAATAAAGTGTGCTTTCTTAATTTACCTAATTTTGTTAACCTTTGCTTTAGATCAAATGAAGACGTCAATATTCTTGTAATGTTTTTTTGTATGAAAAATCTTAAATTACAGCTCACTTTGAGCAAATTCGTAATTTGCGATTAATCGCAGCAAATCCTGCGAGTTAACTCGAGAACATCGTTTTATCATTTGACAGCCCGAGTATTGACTCTTGACTTCCTCTCCTGTCCTACCCAGGGACTACGGCCTGTCCTACCTGTCTCTGAGGACCAGCATCGGCCTGTGGACGGCCTTCCTCTGCCTGGTCCTGGTGGCCACAGACGCCAGCTCCCTGGTCTGTTACATCACACGCTTCACAGAGGAGGCCTTCGCCGCGCTCATCTGCATCATCTTCATCTACGAGGCCCTGGAGAAGCTATTCCACCTGGGGGAACACTATCCCGTCAACATGCACAATGAGCTGGACAACCTCACCCTCTACTCGTGAGTCAGGGTTGGAGAGCCTCGGTGGAGGGTAAAAGCCGCGGGTAGTGGGACTGCCATTTTTCCGCTACCAAAAAAACAAAATTTATTCAGGAAATGTACCTTTTCTATTTGGATTACTGTGTTTTAGATGATGTTACCATTGACTTGCGCTCAAAGATATAAAAGGGGAGCTTACGGTTTTGTGGGGAGTGTAAAGCATGGAGTGTGTAAGATGTATTCTCTTGACTCAGGTGTCAGTGTTTTCCACCGGCCAACGCCTCCACTGAGATCTTGCAGACGTGGAACCAGACAGGACACACACCAGACACTATCTCCTGGAACAGCCTCAACGTATCGGTCAGTCAGAGGACACACACACAAGGAACACACACACTGCAAAAAACATCTGTTGAGCCTGTGTATTTCTCTGACCCTTTACTCTCTTTGCCAGATGTGTAACCTGCTCCGTGGAGAGTTTGCTGGTCCTGCCTGTGGTCACCACGGCCCCTACATCCCAGACGTCCTCTTCTGGTCCATCATCCTCTTCTTCACCACCTTCTTCCTCTCCTCCTTCCTCAAGGAGATCAAGACCGAGCGATACTTCCCTACAAAGGTGTGTTATTCACTTGCGAGCAGGGTGTAGAGCTATTGTGTGTGTGTGTGTGTGTGTGTGTGTGCGTGTTTGTGTTCCTCTAAAAGTTTATTGTGCTGCAACAACATTCACAGTTAACTTCAAGGTCTTCACATTCTTCCCACACAATATGTCAAAACACTTTGCTGTTACTGTTAGCTACTGTGTGTAGGCGTTCCCACTGAGTGAATTATAATGGCTGTGTTGTTTACACATTAACATGATTATGCATCGTCATTATTATGGGTTGTGCAGGTGCGCTCCACCATCAGTGACTTTGCCGTGTTTCTGACCATTATGATCATGGTGCTGGTGGACTATCTGATGGGTATCCCCTCTCCTAAACTCAACGTACCCGACCGCTTTGAGGTAGGACCCTTTTGATATTGTATCTCTGTTTAGGCATTCAAAAGATGTTGGGCCTGTACTGCCATATGGCATACTAATCATATCAACATGTCATATGATACTGATGATAGCAATGATATATCCTGGGCTGATACTAGAGCCTGTAGTAATACTAGTAAGCTAATGTGGACACTGACCTATTTAGATTTGTCTAGTGTAATGTGATGGCTTTCTTTTAGCCTTATCGTTGAAGCTAACTCTCTGCCCTGCTGCAGCCCACCTCCAAGCACCACGGCAGGCTATCTAGTGTAATGCGATAGCTAGCTACTAGCGTTAGCATTATAGCTAAAATCAATCAAAGTTGATTGTCATACGCACAGGATACAGTGAAGTGTACACAGGGTAATGTAATGTACAATGAAAAACATAATCAAGGACCCAGCGAACTGTTCACTCCCCTACTGTCTGGCAGACGGTATCGGAGCATCGGGTCTTGGGCCACTAGGCTCAGAGACAGTTTTTACCCACAAACCATCAGACTGCTGAACACTTGAACTTGAACTGACCATTTGCACTGACTCTCCGTACCTTCACACATGCAGTCACTCACTCACTCACTTACACAGGCCCTGTAGCGGGTGATGTTGGACGGAGTCAGGCGCAGGAGAGTAAATCACGGAAATTATGGTTTAATCAATAAACAGAGGTACGCAGCAATGCGTAATACACACCAGTGCGGACAAATGGCACACTGGGGAAAATAAGGCAGACGGGTGAACAACCCAGCGATACACAATATTATCGAGCTCCACCGAGCTATAATCTCCTCTACAATAAACGATCACACACAAAGACAAGGGGGCAGAGGGAACACTTATACAGGGACTGATGAGGGGATGAGAACCAGCTGTGTGTAATAAACAAGACAAAACAAATGGAATGATGAGATGAGGAGCGGCAGTGGCTAGAAGGCCGGTGATGACGAACGCCGAAGCCTACCCGAACAAGGAGGGGAGGCAGTCTCGGAGGAAGTCGTAACAGGCCCACACATATGCAGATACAAACACACACACACTCCCAGGCACACACACACATTCAAGCCACACACACACACCACAACTGCTGCTATTGGACTTCTATTTAATATTGCACCAAACACTCCCTTCCCCGGTACACGTGTAAATATTGTAATGTAAATCTGTTTGAGTGCCTTCCTTGTATTTATACTTCTGCTAAATGTTTATTCAAAAAAAAATTCAATCGAGCTTCTATTCTATTTATTCATTTTTATTACTTTATACTTTTTCTGTTCTTATTGTTGTCGCATTGTCGAGAGGTGAACCTGCAAGCATTTCATTGTACTGTTTACACCATGTGTTCCTGTGCATATAACAAATAAACGTCACAAACTTGAATTTACAAGTTCTTGCTAGTGAACACTATACCCTGACTGCAAGCTATTAGCATTAGTTTAAATGCTAACTATGCTCTGGTCTGCAGCCTACCTCCAAGCATCGCGGCTGGCTGATCTCCCCGCTGGGCACCAACCCCTGGTGGACCCTGCTGGTGGCGGCGCTGCCCGCTTTGCTCTGCACCATCCTCATCTTCATGGACCAGCAGATTACCGCCGTCATCATCAACCGCAAGGAGCACAAGCTCAAGGTGAGCAAGTGCTGGTTTATGGCATAGACTTCCGTAGTTTACAGGCTCTATTTCCACTGTCAAGGTGGGTAGAGCTGACACATTTTTACAAATATGTTGTTCTGTCACCTTGTTCTGTCCATTATATTATCATTCACTGTGTTGAATGTAGCTAGTGTTTTCATGAAATGTATTCACTGTGTACAATTTGGTGCTCCAACGACAATATACTATAATAACTTTTTGTCCTCTTCTTTTCCCCCCTCGTTTTTCCCCTCATGTAGAAAGGCTGTGGCTACCATCTGGACCTGCTGGTGGTGGCGGTAATGCTGGGCGTGTGCTCCATCATGGGCCTGCCCTGGTTCGTAGCCGCCACTGTGCTCTCCATCTCCCACGTCAACAGCCTCAAGGTTGGCAGGCCTGCTGCTGTCTTTGTTTATTCGTTGTTTCTAAGTCAGCGGTGTAAAACGCAATTCCTGGAGGGCAGAGTGTCTGCGTTTTTTTGCTCCTCCCTTGTACTTGATTGATCAATTAAGGTCGTCAATTAGTTAGGAACTGCTCTCACCTGGTTGTCTAGGTCTTAACTGGACACATTGAAAGGAAATTATAAAAACCAGCAGACATTCGGCCCTCCAGGGATTACGGTTGACACCTCTGGTGTAAGTGATTAGCTGTGAGTTTGTTTTTTGTTTTAATGTACAAGTCTGAAAAATAATTTCTTTATCTGAGTAAAGTAGATATTCATCTAATGTAATCTAATCAAATCTAAAGGTGGAGTCGGGCTGCTCGGCCCCAGGAGAACAGCCCAAGTTCCTGGGTATCAGAGAGCAGAGGGTCACCGGCTTCATGATCTTTGTCCTCATGGGCTGCTCTGTCTTTATGACCTCTGCACTCAAGGTGACAGCTCTTTGGGTTTTAGAAAAGTGTTATAAAAATAAGACGTATTATTAATATAAGACAATGAGCGCTGGACACCAATGCAATGTGAATGATAAGCAGTTTGACTGTTATATATTCACCTTACAGTTGACATGGAATTCTTTTTTTTAAAGCACTTGAAATTATTATTATTATTATTATTATTATTATTATTATTATTATTATTATTATTATATACTGTATGTTCAACTTTTCTCCCCCAACCTCCAGTTCATTCCTATGCCAGTGCTATATGGGGTCTTCCTCTACATGGGAGCCTCTTCACTCAAAGGCATTCAGGTGAGATTATATTCAATGCTTAGTTGAAGATATGATCACAGATTTGGATCTATAACAGTAAAGCAATGCCTTGTCTGTAATGATGAGCTTACTCCTTTGTAATTAAACTCCCTTTTATCAAGAATACATGTCATTGCATTTAAACTATTTCATTTCAAATGTGTTTCCTGACAAAACATTGAAATGAATGGTGCTCAGTACAATGTTCACGTCTCGTTCCCGCTCTCTCTCTTAGTTCTTTGACCGTATCAAGTTGTTTGGTATGCCAGCCAAGCACCAGCCTGACCTGATCTACCTGCGCTACGTTCCCCTGTGGAAGGTCCATGTTTTCACCCTGGTGCAGCTCACCTGCCTCATATTGCTCTGGGTCATCAAGGCCTCTGCAGCCGCTGTCGTTTTCCCCATGATGGTAATACCCATAGAGATAAATGTTCTATAGTAATACTGCCATCATTCTATCTCTTCATGGTAAAATCACTCTCCACATTTACAAACTGGAGAAACATGATATCTTGTCTACCAACAAAGGTGTTTTAAACATGAAAATATCTAAAACCGTGTAGTTCTTTTGCTTCCTCTCTCTCTCTCTCTCTCTTAAAATATCCTGTTTTCGCTTATAGGTGCTGGCCCTCGTCTTCATTCGGAAGCTTCTGGACTTTTTCTTTACCAAGAGGGAGCTCAGCTATCTGGATGACTTGATGCCAGAGAGCAAGAAGAAGAAAGAGGATGACAAGAAGAAGAAGGAGAGGGAGAAACGGGTAACACACAGTAGCACTTTAAAGCCATTAGTTTCCCGACAACATTCACTGTCTAGCACGCTAACAGGACTTGCCCCCCCCCCCCCCCCCCCCACAGAAATCAAATTACAAGAATGGACAAAGCCGCTCAGACTATGTCAATTTGACTGCACCCTCATGTGTACACTTCATTGTAATTCTCTGCTTGTCCCCTTGGTCCCAGGAGGCTTTATTGCTAGGCGTGAATGCTGTGAAGGTCCATTATGACAGTGGGAACCTGCTCAAGATCCCAGTCAAAACGCTCTCAGGGAGGTAAGTGCTGCCCACCATACAACAGGAGTACAATACAATACATTAGATAGATAGATAAATGAAGGACACACTTTTCTTTGGCTTTATCTTTGTATGAAAAAGGTAACTGTGATGATGTTAGTTCGGTAACGTGTTTATCTTGAACAGATCGTACAGAATAATTGCTCATACCCTCCCAATGGATGAAGAGGCGGTAGGGGTGGGTGTCTGATATATCCAGTCCATGTGCTGAGTTTTAACCCTACTCAGTAATATACAGTAACATCAGTCGTAACTTGGCTATTTACTATACCTGTAGATGATGCCTTTTTATTGAAGACACACTCCCTGCGTGTTGTGTTTGTGTTTTGGAGGGGTTTGTTATGATGATACATAATGCTCCACAGTATCATGCCAAGATAAAAAGGCTCTAAAACCATGTGAATACTAATGACTAATGTACACATTGATTACATAGAGAACTCACCCCAGACAATCATCGTCCAAGAGTGACAATTGCCTCCAAAGCAATTGTTACACATAAGCCAGCACATATTTTTTGTGCAAGATGCAATGACAGAGAAATGCTTTGACAGAGAACTGGTGGCAAGTAGTCCTGTGTGCCTCAATCTTTTGTTTGTTTACCTTATCCATATGCATGTCTGTCTACCCTCCCCTGTTCTGTCCTGTTCCTCGCTGCATGTAGCTCATGTGACCTCAGCAATGTTAATATCTCTGACGAAATGGCCAAAAGCGGGGCATGCAAAGCAGTGGCGTTGAGCGCCGACTTCGGCCCATCTATGAAGCGTAGCCAAAGGTAGCTATGCCGACAACGACTTGCCTTTAGCTGTCACCTCTCTTTCTCCTGAAAATGGAAGAGGCTTTTTCCAGGCACACCTCAGGTCTACTGAAATCTCATTAAGACAAGATCATATTGATAACTTACCCCTTATAGATCATATAATTCAATTATATTCTGTGACTATTCTAATATACAGTAACTGATCTAATATAACTAAATAATCTACTTAATTCTGTGACTAGCCCATTAATTAATAGGTATGACAAAGACAATGTATCCATTCTTATGTAATGAGAGTATAAAGATCTCGCTTTTGCTGTGTTTATAACTTGCATAATGTTCAGTTGCATGAATGTTGTGAGATCTGAACTTTGTTTGCATAAAACAAGACTACGTTCTATTTTCCTGAATATTGTATTTGCCTACAATATATAAAAGCAAAGCGTTGAAGAGGCTTTGCCCTGAGGTTCTAACTGGGTGCTGCCTGTCCTCTCCCAATTATATTGGTTAAGAACAACATACTTTAACACATGAGCCTGCCATCTTCAAGTCTAGGGTGTTAACAACTGCCTATTCTTAGAGCATGGTATGAGCTTAATTTTAGGCATTGCCGTCTGACACTCTCACAGACAGCATTGCACTTACATCAGAAACACATTTCCTCCTCATCCTTGATATCCTGGCCCAGCCCAGCACAGCACAACCAGCCCATTGATGCTTCTCTTCCCATCTGTCTCCCTCACTTGTCTCTGGCAGCCAGGAGAAGGTGGCCTGTGTTAGAGTCAACATGGACACCACCGACGCAGGAGGACATAGTTCCGCCTTAGAGACTGCCTTGTGATGGAGGAGACCTTGTCCTACCCCCCCCCCCCCCCCCCCTAACCCCACAGAGGGCCACCCTGGTACAGTGAGCAAGCTAGGCCTTGAGCAGAGCAATCAGACTGGTCTTTGGAGAAGAAGCCCCTTTTGTGGGTCTGCTGGGTCAACATTTGAGCTCCAGTGACCTCCAGTGGTCCAGTGTCGCTATGGGGATCCAGAGGCCCCCCCAGTGCACAGAGGACTGACTGCCCTGCAGTGGCGAGCACATTGCTGGGACATGAATGAACCAGACTCACACTGTCTGCCGAAACCCCATGTCAACCAATAATTTCCCACCCACTGCCACAGATGCCAAAGGATGGGGCCACCACCGCCACACTGATGTTGAATAATCTTCAATTGTCATGTATGTGTAAATGTACTTACATTTTATTATATAAGGTATATTTTCTCATGTTCATTTTAAGTGATATTTTATTACCATTTAAGAGATTCACATTTGCATCCAGTTTTTTTGGCCCATGTCATGTGTGAGCTATTCTGGTCTCTGTCTAAATGTTTAATATATTTACTTTACAAAATGTACTATACACAAACCAGCTACACCATCTACAAATGCACATCACTCAAGCCATGATGATTCAGGTTGTTATTTCTGTGATTTCATCAGTGCAAACTGGTTACATCATGACTAAACACTGGTAATCTAAATCTAAACTGTATACATTCAGACACCTATACCCCATAATCTTTCTTGCTTGTGAAACATTGACAAAGGTTGGAGTGGCAACATCTCTTCACTGCCCATGTACTGTATCCGTACTGTATACTCTGCAAGTTGTATTCTCAGTATTGATAGTGCAGCTCAGATCATTTTTTAACTGTTATGCTGTTTTAGTGGAATTGGGTGCTTTTTGTTGTATGTTTTAATAGACATTTTTTCTGAAATACTAATTTAAGGTTAAGAAAGTGATGGTATGACTATTGCAATAAGCACTTTAGATTTGTTTGCCAGTAGGAATTAGTGCACAGGCCTGAATTGAGTTAAAAACATTGAATCTGTAGATCGACAGAACTTTTGCTCAAATGTCTATAAAAAGTAACAACTTTGGAATCAACATGATTTCTGATTGTGGGAAGTTCTTTACACTCATAATTTGTCTGTCACTACTCATACAGTATTTAAATAGCATAACCTATTTGTCTATGATTGTTGGATGTATTATCCTTGGGACAATTATTTTTGATAAACAGGAAAGTGAACAAAATAGTACTGTGCCGTCAGATTTCTTCTAAAAGCAATGAACGACGTTATTCTGTGCAGTCAAAATGTATTCTCACAATATTGTACCATTTATGCTGCACAAGTTTTGATACTTGTGTGTCACATGTGCAACGTGTCAGTAAATTCAGTATTACAGATGTAATTTTGATGCCGATAAATATTTCCAAAAATGATCTGTAAAATGCAATTATATATTTCTCATTTGCTTAGCACACATGCTCCTGTTTTTGCAATAATAGACGAGTGCTGAGTACAATGCAATGTCTGGATTGATGGTTCTATTCAGCTGTCTAAGGGGAGTTTGTCAAACGCCATCCACGTTGTGTGTCTGCTCAATTGACCATATTAGTGTGTAGCTGATTATAAAGACAATAGCTTGCGTGCCTTGTGAATGCTCTGTTGGTATTTTATTCATACTGTAGACATAGTATTAACATTCAAGTAGTACACACACACACACACACACACACACGGCCCGAAATGCGAAAGAGAGACGAGCAAGCTAGGACAGCATATCGACAGCCTGTTCATATCTGTTGAAACTGAAGTGAAATATGAATGCAGTAGTGATCTGAATGCCCTCCTCAACCCAACCTACAACTAACCTGATGTATAACATTACAAATATGAACTCATTAGTACTTCATCATACGCATTTTCTATCAATATATGTACTGTATGTGTTTGTATGTCACAGATGTAGTGTTTGTTCACAAATAGTAAGAACTGTAATGTACTGTAATCAATGTTTATTTTTACATGCAATATCAGTGAATGTGCACAGAATTATTGTAACTTCAATATCACTAGTGAAAATTACAGAAATCTATTGCATTTCGCCAAACACCTTTTAACCTAAATAATTCACATTGTTGCAATTTTTGTTTGAACACAATTCTGGTCAAATGTTGGCTATTTGAAGTCATTACAAATGTTGTTTTCGTATTTGTGATACTATATGTACGCAGTAAGTACAACTCATTGTAGAACACAAATGGTATTGCAGTGCAATGGATTCCATTGGTATTATATGATCTGTACCATAAATAATATATTATGGCTCTGATCTGTACTATAGAAACAGGGTGTTCTTTAGGACCATGTATTACACTGACCTCACTACTGCTGTCAGTCAAGCAGAGAACATTCTCCTGCAATATGTTGTTGAATACGATTAAACATGTAGAATGGAAACTATTTTTTGTAAGTGTTGATGGAAAGGAATTAAAAGTCAATTAAATGTATGTTGTTTCTCTCTGCATATTTAAGCCAGGCACAAAGCACAGCATCAGTATGTGAAAGTACACAGTGTACAATGCAGATTGTGACTCCCAAACGCCTACCAACTCGCTTGGAGGGCCCTCCGTTGTCACGTATTGCTGGCAAAACTCAGAGTTCTAATTAGCTTCTATACCCATAATTTTCAGTCCCTCAGCTTTGGGACACTTGTGCATATGGAGGGGCCAGGGAACAGGGTGATTTGGGATTCAGCTAGAGCTGTTTAAGCTTTTCAAGAGATTAAGGCATTATCCTGTATTGTAGAGATTAAAGAAAAACACCAGACTAAGGAAATTGAGATTGAAGGTGAAATGTAATGTTTAATCAAAATGATATCCCTGTATTAAAGGTCATATTTGGCAGCTTTGGGGATTTTCAGCACTTTGTAGACTTTGTTCTCAAACATTGTGGTGAAGTGCGGCCAGGAGTCGATGGACAGGAGGGAACATAGTGGCAACTTTCCCCTGTTCTCCTGATCCTCCACGTCCCAGATCTTAGGCATGCTGCAGCCTGGCCTGTGAAGTGTAGCACAGTTAGATGGGAATCACAGTGAGATAACATAGTACAGGGCTTTGTTCATTATGCACCAAATGGAAGAAAACTGACTGAAATAGGGAGGGAAAGTGACCAATAAGAAACTTGTTTTCATTTTCTATTGCAAAACATTTTGCTACGGTCTGCTTAATAATCAAATCAAATTGTATGTCACATGTTTCGTAAACAGGTGTAGACTAACAGTGAAATGCTTACTTACAGGCCCTTCCCAACAATGCAGAGAAAAACTGATATAAATAACAGAAAAATAAACATAATAACAAGGAATAAATACACAATGAGTAAAATGTTTTATATATACAGTACCAGCCAAATGTTTGGACACACCTACTCAGTTTCTTTATTTTTACTATTTTCTACATTGTAGAATAATAGTGAAGACATCACAACAATGAAATAACACATATGGAATCATGTAGTAACCAAAAAAAGTGTTAAACAAATCAAAATACATTTTATATTTGAGATTCTTCAAAGTAGCCACCCTTTGCCTTGATGACAGTTTTGCACACTCTTGGCGTTCTCTCAACCAGCTTCATGAGGTAGTCACCTGGAATGCATTTCAATTAACAGGTGTGCCTTCTTAAAAGTTAATTTGTGGAATTTCTTTCCTTCTTAATGCGTTTGAGCCAATCAGTTGTGTTGTGACAAGGTAAGTGGGGTATACAGAAGATAGCCCTATTTATGGCAAGAACAGCTCAAATAAGCAAAGAGAAACGACAGTCCATCATTACTTTAAGACATGAAGGTCAGTCAATCCGGAAAATTTCAAGAACTTTGAAAGTTTCTTCAAGTGCAGTCGCAAATACCATCAAGCGCTATGATGAAACTGGCTCTCATGAGGACCGCCACAGGAATGGAAGACCCAGAGTTACCTCTGCTGCAGAGGATGAGTTCATTAGAGTTAACTGCAGACCAAATAAATGCTTCACAGAGTTCAAGTCACAGACACATCTCAACATCAACTGTTCAGAGGAGACTGCGTGAATCAGGCCTTCATGGTCGAATTGCTGCAAAGAAACCACTACTAAAGGACACCAATAAGAAGAAGAGACTTGCTTGGGCCAAGAAACACGGTGGAAATCTGTCCTTTGGTCTGATGAGTCCAAATGTGCGATTTTTGGTTCCATTCTTTGCATCTTCAAAGTGGTAGGCATGTTGTGTAAATCAAATGATACAAACCCCAAAAAAATCTATTTAAATTACAGGTTGTAATGCAACAAAATAGGAAAAACACTAAGGGGGATGAATACTTTTGCAAGGCACTGTACATGATTCGATATGTGTTATTTCATAGTTTTGATGTCTTCACTATTATTCTACAATGTAGAAAATAGGAAAAAATAAAGAAAAACCCTTGAATGAGTAGGTGTGTCCAAACTTTTGATTGGTACTGTATATATATATATATATATATATATATATATATATATATATATACAGTGCCCTCCACTATTATTGGCACCCCTGTTTAAAGATGTGGTCGAGGACATGCAAGGAAAAAGCCTTTTCTCACTAACACTCACAAACGTAAACGTCTGGAGTTTGCTAAGCGGCACTGGGACTTCAACTGGGATCGTGTGCTTTGGTCAGATGAGACTAAGATTGAGCTTTTTGGCAACAAACACTCTAAGTGGGTCTGGCATAAAACAAAAGATGAGTATGCCGAAAAGCACCTCATGCCCACCGTAAAGTATGGTGGAGGATCTGTGATGCTGTGGGCCTGTTTCTCTTCCAAAGGCCCTGGGAACCTTGTTAGGGTGCATGGCATTATGAACGCTTTGAACTACCAGGAAATTTTAAATAAAAACCTGATGGCCTCTGCCAGAAAGCTGAAGATGGGTCGTCATTGGGTCTTTCAGCAGGATAATGATCCAAAACATGTGGCAAAATCTACACAAAAATGGTTCAGCAGTCACAAACTCAAGGTCCTCCCATGGCCATCTCAGTCCCCAGACCTCAACCCAATCGAAAACCTGTGGGGCGAGCTAAAGAGGAGAGTGCATAAGAGAGAGGACCCAGGACACTGGATGATCTAGAAAGATTGTGCAAAGAAGAATGGTCAAAGATCCCTCTCTCTGTGTTCTCCAATCTTGTGAAATGTTATAGGAGGAGATTAAGTGCTGTCTTGTTGGCAAAAGGGGGTTGTACAAAGTATTAACATCAGGGGTGCCAATAATTGTGGGACACATGATTTCAAGTTTTTTTTCTTTCTAAATGTGTGATTTTTTTTTTTTTACACCAAAGTAATGTACTTAAATAAAAGGTTGGATTTTTCTCTTTTTTTGCATTTGGGTTCTATGTTGTTTAAAAAAACAAAGAGAATTTTTGGAAGTCCTCGACCACATCTTAAACAGGGGTGCCAATAATTGTGGAGGGCACTGTGTATATATATATATATATATATATATATATATATATATATATATATATATATATATATATATATATTTTATGGGGTAGATCAGCTTTAATATTTCAGATAGATTGTGGCTTCCATCAATGTAATTGTCTGCATCATTTCCAATACTCCCTGACAAAGGCCATGTACCCGAAATGTGTCAGAGTTTTTTATTTTTTACTATGTTTCCATTGAACATGGCATACAAATAAAGGCATTTTAATTAATTATATGAAGAGTGCCTTGATCCTCCTTTCTTTTTGATGACCAATTTACCCCTTATACCAAAGAGCACCTTCAGTCTACCAAAACCTACTATTGTGTACCTTAGCAGTGCTTTGTTTCCTTCGTTCTTTCTACAACCCCATATATATTTCTTGTAAATAAATACACTATATATACATAAGTATGTGGACACCCCTTCAAATTAGTGGATTCGGCTAGTTCAGCCACACCCGTTGCTGACAGGTGTATAAAATCGAGCACACAGCCATGCAATCTCCATAGACAAACATTGGCAGTAGAATGGCCTTACTGAAGAGCTCAGTGGTAGGCCACACAAGTTCACAGAACGGGACCGCCGAGTGCTGAAGCGCGTAGTGCGTAAAAATCGTCTGTCCCAGGCCACTAGGAACGCCACCTCTGGGTGAGCAATTTCTTGTTTGCTTCTGGCCCTATACAGCTCGTTGAGTGATGTCTTAGTGCCAGCATCGGTTTGTGGTGGTAAACAGCTGCAAAAAATATAGATAAACTGTCTTGGTAAATAGTATGATCTACAGCTTATCATGAGGTATTCTAACTCAGCCGAACAGAACCTCAAGACTTCCTTAATATTAGAGATCGCGCACCAGTTGTTAACAAAGAGACACACACCACCTCCCCTGAGCTTCCCCGACGCCACCGTTCTGTCGTGCCGATGTATAGAAAAACCATCTCGATTTATATTTACCATGTCCTTGTTCAGCCACGACTTGGAGAAACATAGGATATTACTGTTCTTCCGATCACGTTGATAGGATAGTCTCGAACGGAGCTCATCCTGATTATTCTCCAGTTATTGCACGTTCGCCAATAGAACGAAGGGTAGAGGTGATTTATCCAGTCTCCGACATAGTCTCGTCAGGTATCCCGCACGCTGGCCTCTATAGTGATTCCTGGTCATGGCTCACATCAACACCATTATCCCAGAAATCCTAGACCCACTCCAATTTGCATAGCGCCCCAACAGATCCACAGTTGATGCACTCTATTGCACTCCACACTGCCCTTTCCCACCTGCACAAGAGGAACACCTACGTGAGAATGCTCTTAATTGACTATATCTCAGCATTCAACACCATAGTGCCCTCAAAGCTCATCACTAAGCTAAGGACCCTGGGACTAAACACCTCCCTCTGCAACTGGATCCTGGACTTCCTGACGGGCCGCCCCCAGGTTAGTAAGGGTAGGTAACAACACATCTGCCACGCTGATCAACAACACAGGGGCCCCTCAGGGGTGCGTGCTCAGTCCCCTCCTGTACTCCCTGTTCACCCATGACTGCATGGCCAGGCACGACTCCAACACCATCATTAAGTTTGCCGACGACACAACAGTGGTAGGCCTGATCACCGACAACGATGAGACAGCCTATAGGGAGGAGGTCAGAGACCTTGCCGTGTGGTGCCAGGATAACAACCTCTCCCTCAATGTGATCAAGACAAGGGAGATGATTGTGGACTACAGGAAAAAAAAGAGGACTGAGCACGCCCCCATTCTCATCGACAGGTTGAGAGCTTCAAGTTCCTTGGGGTCCACATCACCAACAAACTATCATGGTCCAAACACCCCAAGACAGTCGTGAAGAGGGCACGACAAAGCCTAATGCCACCCAGGACCTCTATGCCAGGCGGTGTCAGAGGACGGCACTAAAAATTGTCAAAGACTCCAGCAACGCTAGTCATAGACTGTTCTCTCTGCTACCGCACGGCAAGCGGTACCGGAGCGCCAAGTCTAGGGCCAAAAGGCTTCTTAACAGCTTTTACCCCGAAGTCATAAGACTCCTGAACAGCTAATCATGACTACCCAGACTATTTGCATTGCCCCCCCACCCCACCCCAACCCCCTCTTTTACGCTGCAGCTACTCAACCCACATGTACATATTACCTAAATTACCTCGACTAACCGGTGCCCCCGCACATTGACTCTGTACCGGTACCCCCTGTATATAGCCTCCCTTCTGTTATTTTATTTTTCTGCTGCTCTTTAATTATTTGCAATGTTTTATTTAACACTTTTCCCCCCCCTTTCTTAAAAAAACTGCATTTTTGGTTAAGGGCTTGTAAGTAAGCATTTCACTGTTGTATTCGGCGCATGTGGCAAATACATTTTGATTTGATTTGATTCAAGTGTCAGGGATTTGGGCCTGGTCCGGGATAATAAATATGTATTTTGCCTCTGACTCATTGAAGTAGAAGTCCTTCGTCCAAATCGAGGTTAGTGATAGCTGTTCTGATACCCAGAAGCTATTTTCGGTCATAGGAAACGATGGCGGTAACATTATGTACAAGAAAACTTAAGATCAGCGCCCCAAGAAATATACAAAATAGCACAATTGGTCAGGATCTCGTAAAACGGCCGCTATTCCCTCCATCGCCATTACTTATACCACCCTGTTTACCTGGAGCGTTGGTTACACCAGGAGTCCTCCAAGATGAAGTAGTCTGCCTGCAGCTGCATCAGATTTCTCTTTATCTCCTTGGCTGGTTTATGACTGTACATAGTGTACACCAACTTGGTCCTCTCCCTGTGGGAATATATTATACCTCATTTAGTGACAGAAACACAATGGGTGGTGCTTCATCATCAGATATTGTTGCAATGCATAACCCATAGGGGAATCGTGCCAGTCTTACCTCTGCCAAGTGTCCTCGTAGTGGGGATGATTCACGATGGCTCTACCAGTGGACAGTTTCACACTCGCCATGGTTGGCATAGAGCCCGCAAACACAGCATCTTGGAACACACACAAATACAATTGAATGTAACTTTCTTCAGCCCATCCCTTGTATCCGTCCCTTCATTTTTAGCATTACAATAATTACACTAATTCAGATCAACCTATATAGTAATGCATCTACAGAGCTTAGTAGCAACTGAACTAGCTCAGCCTTCTACTGTATGCCCACTCATTTCTTGCCCCCAAAAAGCACACACTAGGCATAAGTCGTAACATGACATGACTCACTGGCCATGGTGTTGGCATTGATCCACTCCAGGAGCTGCTCCTGAGGCAGGTTGCTGAAGTCTCCCATGATTCCTCGCTGGCTCTGGTAGTTGGCTAGATGGCCATGATGGACAGGATGCCAAAAACAGTGATGTGGCGCTTGAAGTGCTCCCCTATCCAGCCAAACAACTGCGGAGCATTGGAGAACGTATATACCGGTAGATCAATTATCAGGCGGACTTTATTATAAATCCATTCACAAGGACATTTGATTTGGCAGACGTTTTTCACTATGATGTGCTCTGACTGCCTGGACCAGAGTCCAGTTACTAACCCTAACACTGACTGTGATGGAGTACTAATAAGATATTAATTTGGTTCACTGCACTAGCCACCTGTCCGCTCTTTACGCTAGATCAGCATGGCTTCTATAGCTGGAATGAGGGAGGTCCAATTAAGGAAAATGGAAAGGGTCCCACGTGATTTCTATTGTCTCTCCATGTCTGTCTGTCTACAGACGTCTCACCTCTCTAGAGCAGATCAGGGAGGCCATGATGCACATGAGTGGCGCCAGAAAGAGTTTGATTCTCATGACCAGGATCGCCAGCACGGCAAAGGCCACCAGCTGCAGACTATGGTACACCATCTGACACACACACGGGCAGGGAAACACAATGGAAGTTATGAGTGCTGTAATGAGTCATTGGAGGGAATTGGTGTCGACATTATCCCCTGATGCGACATTTTCTCTGATTATATACATTACCCACTGCATTAAGGATTGTGCCTTCAAGGAAAATACAGTGAGGGAAAAAAGTATTTGATCCCCTGCTGATTTTGAACGTTTTCCCACTGACAAAGAAATGATCAGTCTTTTAACGGTAGGTTTATTTGAACAGTGAGAGACAGAATAACAACAAAAAAATCCAGAAAGACGCATGTCAAAAATTTTATAAATTGATTTGCATTTTAATGAGGGAAATACGTTTTTGACCCCCTCTCAATCAGAAAGATTTCTGGCTCCCAGTTGTCTTTTATACAGGTAACGAGCTGAGATTAGGAGCGCACTCTTAAAGGGAGTGCTCCTAATCTCAGCATGTTACCTGTATAAAAGACACCTGTCCACAGAAGCAATCAATCAATCAGATTTCAAACGATTGTAGACCTACACAAGGCTGGAATGGGCTACAAGACCATTGTAGCTTGGTGAGAAGGTGACATGCAAGATCTCACCTTGTGGAGTTGCAATGATCATGAGAATGGTGAATAATCAGCCCAGAACTACGCGAGAGGATCTTGTCAATGATCTCAAGGCAGCTGGGACCATAGTCACCAAGAAAACAATTGGTAACACACTACGCCGTGAAGGACTGAAATCCTGCAGTGCCCGCAAGGTCCCCCTGCTCAAGAAAGCACATATACAGGGCCGTCTGAAGTTTGCCAATGAACATCTGAAAGATTCAGAGGAGAACTGGGTGAAAGTGTTGTGGTCAGATGAGACCCAAATCCAGGTCTTTGGCATCAACTCAACTCGCCGTGTTTGGAGGAGGAGGAATGCTGCCTATGACCCCAAGAACACCATCCCCACTGTCAGACATGGAGGTGGAAACATTATGCTTTGGGGGTGTTTTTCTGCTAAGGGGACAGGACAACTTCACCGCATCAAAGGGACGATGGACGGGGCCATGTACTGTCAAATCTTGGGTGAGAACCTCCTTCCCTCAACCAGGGCATTGAAAATGGGTCGTGGATGGGTATTCCAGCATGACAATGACCCAAAACACACAGCCAAGGCAACAAAGGAGTGGCTCAAGAAGCACATTAAGGTACTGGAGTGGCCTAGCCAGTCTCCAGACCTTAATCCCATAGAAAATCTGTGGAGGGAGCTGAAGGTTCGAGTTGCCAAACGTCAGCCTCGAAACCTTAATGACTTGGAGAAGATCTGCAAAGAGGAGTGGAACAAAATCCCTCCTGAGATGTGTGCAAACCTGGTGGCCAACTACAAGAAACGTCTGACCTCTGTGATTGCCAACAAGGGTTTTGCCACCAAATACTAAGTCATGTTTTGCAGAGGGGTCAAATACTTATTTCCCTCATTAAAATGCAAATCAATTTATAACATTTTTGACATGCGTTTTTCTGGATTTTTTTGTTGTTATTCTGTCTCTCACTGTTCAAATAAACCTACTATTCAAATTATAGACTGATCATGTCTTTGTCAGTGGGCAAACGTACAAAATCAGCAGGGGATCAAATATTTCTTCCCTCACTGTAGCTGCAATCTATTTATTTATTTATTTTACATATGGGCTGTTGGTTTGAAAGTGAAAATAAGTAGCTAAGTTGACTTACCTCCCCATTAGCAAACTGTGCCGTCCTAAAATATGATAGAAGTGTTTGCATGAGTCACACACACCACAACAATGTTGCAAGAAGTGATCAGTGCTCGGTCTGTATACCATAAAGACAATAGGTGGAGCCCGTGTTCAATTAATATAATACTTGATGCTACTTGTTGCATTATAAAATACTTACTGCTTAGTGTCAATATCGATATCTTCTTTAGAGTCAACTCTCTCACGCCTAACAGAGCTCCAGACTTCTTTAATTGCCTAGAGAAAAATAATTACAAATATTACATTAGACAAACAAATGGACTTATAAGAGCTGCAATGTTAAAGTGGAGAAAAATGTGTCTCACCTTTCCAGAAATGATGGCCACAATAACTATGTTTACCAGGAGTATCAACATCTTAACGTATCCCAACAAAGTCTGTAAACAGAATTGAGTATCAGAAAACCACTTACAGACATCAAATATAAATATCTACAGCTAAATAATAGCGTCAAAAATGTAATTAAACATACCTCCAGCTCCATAAAGTCGAACTCTGCAACACAGGTATACATCAACGTGTGGAAATCCTTGTAGTTGGTAAACTTGGATCTGATCAAGTTGCCAATGTGAGCCTGTGGGAGATATAGAGAAAAACACAGTGAGGTTAAAGTCACCCGGACACACACACCTTTATATGGAAACATTGAAACAGGAAGTGTGAGCCTGACATTAAATGAGTAGACTGCTTCAGTGAACAACAATTGTGGGGAACAACTAACATTTTATTTTTATTTCATGAGTCACTCATAGCCCAAGTTGATAACATGCTGAATCATAGGCGGAATTGCCACAGGGGATGGGGGGACATGTCCCACCAATATTCAGAACAGGTCTACATCATAAGCAATGGCAAAATGTGTAGAATTGCAGGAAATTTGCTTTTAATAACTGTCCAGTGTTCCCAGATTTCTATTAAATATGACCTATAATTAATTACAACAGAGTGAAATAGTTTTCCTTCCAAAAAATGGTAATCAAGTACACTATACAGTGCATTCGGAAAGTATTTAGACCCCTTGACTTTTTCCACATTTTGTTACATTACAGCCTTATTCTAAAATGGATTAAATTAATACAAAATCTCAGCAATCTACACGCAATACCCCATAATGACCAACCGAAAACAGGTTGTAGACATTTTTGCTAATTTACAACAAATAAAAAACTGAAATACTTTATTTACATAAGTATTCAGACCCTTTGCTATGAGACTCGAAATTGAGCTCAGGTGCATTCTGTTTCAATTGGTCATCCTTGGGATGTTTCTAGAACTTGATTGGAGTCCATCTGTGGTAAATTCAATTGATTGGACATGATTTGGAAAGGCACACACCTGTCTATATAAAGGTCCCACAGTTGACAGTGCATGTCAGAGCAAAAACCAAGCCATAAGGTCGAAGCAATTGTCCGTAGAGCTCCGAGACAGATCTGGGGAAGGGTACCAAAAAATTTCTGCATCAGTGAAGGTCCCCAAGAACACAGTGGCCTCGTCATTCTTAAATGGAAGATGTTTGGAACCACCAAGATTCTTACTAGAGCTGGCCACCCGGCCAAACTGAGCAATTGGGGGAGAAGGGCCTTGGTCAGGGAGGTGACCAAGAACTCGATGGTCAATCTGACAGAGCTTTAGAGTTCCTCTGTGGAGATGGGAGAACCTTCCAGAAGAACAACCATCTCTGAAGCACTCCACCAATCAGGTCTTTATGGTAGAGTGGCCAGACGGAAGCCACTCCTCAGTAAAAGTCACATGACAGCCCACTTGGAGTTTTCAAAAAGGCACCTAAAGACTGTCAGACCATGAGAAACAAGATTCTCTGGTCTGATGAAACCAAGATTGAACTCTTTGGCCTGAATGCCAAGCGTCATGTCTGGAGGAAACCGGGCACCATTCCTACGGTGAAGCATGGTGGTGGCAGCATGGACTGGGAAACTGGTCAGGATCGAGGCAAAGATGAACGGAGCAAAGTACAGAGAGATCCTTGATGAAAACCTGCTCCAGAGCGCTCAGGACCTCAGACTGGGGCGAAGGTTCACCTTCCAACAGGACAACGACCCTAAGCACACAGCCAAGACAACGCAGGAGTGGCATCAGGACAACTCTCTGAATGTTCTTGATTGGCCCAGCGAGAGCCCGGACTTCTCTGGAGAGACCTGAAAATAGCTGTGCAGCAACGCTCCCCATCCAACCTGACAGAGCTTGAGAGGATCTGCAGAAAGGAATGGGAGAAACTCCCCCAAATTCAGGTGTTCCAAGCTTGTAGCGTCATACCCAAGAAGACTTGCGGCTGTAATCGCTGCCAAAGGTGCTTCAACAAAGTACTGAGTAAAGGCTCTGAATACTTATGTAAATGTTATATCCAGTTTGTTTTTTTAACACATTTGCTAAAATTCTAAAAATGTGTTTTTGCTTTGTAATTATGGGGTATTGTGTGTAAATTGATGAGGGAAAAAAAACAATTTAATCAATTTCAGAACAAGGCTGTAACGTAAAACATTTTGGAAAAAGTCAAAGGGGTCTGAATACTTTCGAATGCACTGTATATATACAAAAGTATGTAGACACCCCTTCAAATTTGTGGATTCGGCTATTTTTAGCCACACCCGTTGCTGACAGGTGTATAGAATTGAGCACACAGCCATGAAATCTCCATAGACAAACATTGGCAGTAGAATGGCCCTAATAAAGAGCTCAGTGACTTTCAATGTGGCACCGTCATAGGATGCCACATTTCCAACAAGTCAATTCGTCAAATTTCTGCCCTGCTAGAGCTGCCCGTGTCAACTGTAAGTGCTGTTATTGTGAAATGGAAATGTCTTTGAGCAACAACGGCTCAGCCAAGAAGTGGTATGCCACACAAGCTCACAGAACGGGACCGCCGAGTGCTGACGCGCATATCGCGTACAAATCTGTCCTCGGTTGCAACACTCACTACCGAGTTCCAAACTGCATCTGGAAGCAACTTCAGCACAATAACTGTTCGTCGGGAGCTTCATGAAATTGGTTTCCATGGCCGAGCAGCCACACACAAGCCTAAATTCACCATGCGCAATGCCAAGCGTCGGCTGGAGTGGTGTAAAGCTCGCCGCCATTGGACTCTGGAGCAGTGGAAACGCGTTCTCTGGAGTGATGAAACACGCTTCACCATCTGGCAGTCCGACGAATCTGGGTTTGGCGGATGCCAGGAGAACCCTAACTGCCCCAATGCATAGTGCCAACTGTAAAGTTTGGTGGAGGACGAATAATGGTCTGTGGCTGTTTTTCATGGTTTGGGCTAGGCCCCTTAGTTCCAGTGAAATGTTAACGCTACAACATACAATTACACCATTCTGTGCTTCCATCTTTGAGGCAACAGTTTGGGGAAGGCCTTTCATGTTTCAGCATGACAATGCCCCCGTGCACAAAACGAGGTCATACAGAAATGGTTTGTCGAGATCAGTGTGGAAGAACTTGACTGGCCTACACAGATCCCTGACCTCAACCCCATCAAACACCTTTGGGATGAATTTAAACGCCAGGTCTAATTGCCCAACATCAGTCCCTGACCTCACTAATGCTCTTGTGGCTGAATGGAAGCAAGTCACCGCAGCAATGTTACAACATCTAGTGGAAAGCCTATCCAGAAGAGTGGAGGCTGTTATAGCAGCAAAGGGGGGACCAACTACATATTAATGCCCATGATTTTGGAATGAGATGTTTGATGAGCAGGTGTCCACATACTTTTGGTCATGTAGTGTATGTTAAAAAGCAGCTTTTCTGTGTTGGAATGGTGGGTGACCAATAATAAAAATATTTATGTGAGTACACCGCTGATTGGCCAGCTCATCCTCTATGAGGAAATAGCAAGCATTTTTTAAACGTTTGAGGTGGAGTTTTTTAAGTATTGTTTTCCCCTCCATTTTCTGATTTGGCCACAAATGCAAGTACAGTGGGGAAAAAAAGTATTTAGTCAGCCACCAATTGTGCAAGTTCTCCCACTTAAAAAGATGAGAGAGGCCTGTAATTTTCATCATAGGTACACGTCAACTATGACAGACAAATTGAGAAAAAAAGATCCAGAAAATCCCATTGTAGGATTTTTAATGAATTTATTTGCAAATTATGGTGGAAAATAAGTATTTGGTCACCTACAAACAAGCAAGATTTCTGGCTCTCACAGACCTGTAACTTCTTCTTTAAGAGGCTCCTCTGTCCTCCACTCGTTACCTGTATTAATGGCACCTGTTTGAACTTGTTATCAGTATAAAAGACACCTGTCCACAACGTCAAACAGTCACACTCCAAACTCCACAATGGCCAAGACCAAAGAGCTGTCAAAGAACACCAAAAACAAAATTGTAGACCTGCACCAGGCTGGGAAGACTGAATCTGCAATAGGTAAGCAGCTTGGTTTGAAGAAATCAACTGTGGGAGCAATTATTAGGAAATGGAAGACATACAAGACCACTGATAATCTCCCTCGATCTGGGGCTCCACGCAAGATCTCACCCCGTGGGGTCAAAATGATCACAAGAACGGTGAGCAAAAATCCCAGAACCACACGGGGGGACCTAGTGAATGACCTGCAGAGAGCTGGGACCAAAGTAACAAAGCCTACCATCAGTAACACACTACGCCGCCAGGGACTCAAATCCTGCAGTGCGAGACGTGTTTCCCCCTGCTTAAGCCAGTACATGTCCAGGCCCGTCTGAAGTGCATTTGGATGATCCAGAAGAGGATTGGGAGAATGTCATATGGTCAGATGAAACCAAAATATAACTTTTTGGTAAAAACTCAACTCGTCATGTTTGGAGGACAAAGAATGCTGAGTTGCATCCAAAGAACACCATACCTACTGTGAAGCATGGGGGTGGAAACATCATGATTTGGGGCTGTTTTTCTGCAAAGGGACCAGGACGACTGATCCGTGTAAAGGAAAGAATGAATGGGGTCATGTATCGTGAGATTTTGAGTGAAACCCTCCTTCCATCAGCAAGGGCATTGAAGATGAAACGTGGCTGGGTCTTTCAGCATGACAATGATCCCAAACACACCGCCCGGGCAACGAAGGAGTGGCTTCGTAAGAAGCATTTCAAGGTCCTGGAGTGGCCTAGCCAGTCTCCAGATCTCAACCCCATAGAAAATCTTTGGAGGGAGTTGAAAGTCTGTGTTGCCCAGCGACAGCCCCAAAACATCACTGCTCTAGAGGAGATCTGCATGGAGGAATGGGCCAAAATACCAGCAACAGTGTGTGAAAACCTTGTGAAGACTTACAGAAAACGTTTGACCTGTGTCATTGCCAACAAAGGGTATATAACAAAGTATTGAGAAACTTTTGTTATTGACCAAATACTTATTTTCCACCATCATATGCCAATAAATTCATTAAAAATCCTACAATGTGATTTTCTGGATTTTTTTTTCTCATTTTGTCTGTCATAGTTGACGTGTACCTATGATGAAAATTACAGGCCTCTCTAATCTTTTTAAGTGGGAGAACTTGCACAATTGGTGGCTGACTAAATACTTTTTTTCCCCACTGTATAGGATGAGTCAACAACATTATTTGGGTATGAGTTAACAGAACAGGGGCGGTGTGTTCATTAGGGCGATATGGGCGACGCACTGCCAAACGGGAAAAGGAAGGGATTTTTTTTCTAATCAATTATATCACGGCAACAGTAGTTATCAGTGTTCTAATCTAGACGTCTGATCTGCCACTAAATGTCCAATCAGGCTAAAGTCGTGCTTCAAATGGACCCGCCCCTTTTGGGGCGATTTCAGTCAGGTTGAAAATCGCCCCAGAAGTCTCTCATAGACTCTCATGTAAAATCTTTTTTTTTTCAAATATCAGAGCTTTCAATACAATCTCTATGGGTTCCGGGAGGGCTTGCACTTACGCGCTTTCGTCATACGTAACATAACCATGAACGTAACTAAGAAAAGAGCGGGTAGCAGCGTCAATCAATTCACGTACTACTGTCAAGATGGCTAGCGTTCAGTGCAACTCGATTGTCTCTTTGAAATAAGTTCCTTTTTGTCGGCGAACAAATCAAGATAAATTGGCAACGAAACAATTAGGACCTCCCAGACCAAATTTAATAATTCAACAGGTTTCTACTAAAGGGGGAAAGTCCTACACCCGAGGATCTTACAAAAATTGGTACGAACGAAAAACCTGGCTAGCAGGCTGCGATGTAGCTAATGCAGTCTTCTGCTACCCCTGCTTACTCTTTCACCCTGAAGGCGGCACGGCAGACAGCACCGCTTGGACAGCGACTGGTGTAACGGACATGCACCATCTTTCAGAAAAGATTAAGAAACATGAGCTGTCAAAGACCCACATGGATAGCTGTTTGAGATTGTCTGCTTTGGGGAGAGTGAACATTGCCACTCAACTGGATGAGGGATACAGGCTAGCTGTCCGCCGCCACAACGATGAGGTTAGCAAGAACCGCCACACATATTTTTCTTGGACTTGTCAACTTTGTGGCACAATTAGATGAGGTGTTTTATGGAAATGCATATTGTTTATGCAGTGTTGAGGAATGTGAAAGAACACCCTTGATTATTTTTACTGTGATAACTTATTTTGCTTTTGTAAGCCAACACTTTTGAGATCAGTCAATAAATGCTTCTGGTATTGACTTATATGCTGCCCCTGTCTTCATGTTGTTGCTGGACATATCTTTTTTAAAATGTGTGTAGGTCACCTAAATCATCAGAAAAATTGCCCCCCCTGAGAATTTTTTCAGGAGCCGCCACTGTAACAGAATATTAACTTTTAAAAAGAGAGATTTTCACTGGACAGTTACTTTAAAACTACAAAATGTTCTCTTAACAGCAGAAAATTAGCTTTAAAAATGCAACATTTCTCACATCCTCATTGCAGAATGTGAAGAATAGCATGAGATGAGCTATTAAACAGCACATTTGTCTTTCTGCCCCATGGCAAAATGTGTAGAAATGCAGGAAATTTGCTTTAAAAATGCAACATTTTCTCTCAGCCTCATGACAAATAACATTGTTCACTTATCCTTCCCCTTATACTGTGTTTTCAGGGGGAAGGACCCCATCTGCTGTTTTTTGTCCCCCCCCCCATCAAATAACAGGCAAACAAGCATGCAACCTGAAGAGACAGACAACATAAGCATTTCGATTTATTGTCACGGAACCTAACTGTACAGCTGAGGATCTTCAGTCCATAAACAGAATCTTGTAAATTGACTGGTACATCCCAGGCATGCGTTTTTACCTCAGTGTGTGGATTTATTTACCTGAGTTAGCAAAACAAACTGGGCAAATGGCCAAGGAAGAAGGAACAATACATTGCAAGCACCAAGAGCTACTAGGGATCTTCCTCTAGAGTTGGAACGCCTACAAAGACGGTGCAAAGACAATAGTATTATTTGTATTAATCATCAGTGACATGTATTCATTTATTTAAGTGAATATATATCTAAGTGAATATTTATCTATAAAACACAGATAGGGTTTTGAAAAGAGTGGTGAAGCCCAAGATGGTTATAAATAGTTTAGATCAATGGCATGTGAACTGAAGATACCTGGGAATGCGTGTTAACAGCAGCATCTGCAGGACAAAGAAGGGATAGGAGAAGCTCTCCCTCAGCGGTGGAGTCCACATGACCCGAGTGCTCTGGAATACATTGCATGAGTTGAGACAGCATTCACCACCAGCCAACCCCTATGAGGATCTAAGATACAGTTTCCATACACTGTATGCAACAATCAATTTACATTCATCTCAACAAAACATGAATTGCACAGTGAGGAAACTATAATATGGATTCCACTGAGTACACAGCTCCAAAGTGTATAACTCTCTCTCACCTCTCCATGGTTGAAGAAGAGACACAGGACGGTGATGACACCTCCAAGACGACTGCCACTGGAAAGAACCCCCCCCCCCCACAAAAAAAAAAACAACAACATCAGATTGTCTCCTAGAGTGGCTAGGGGCACCAAAACAGCATGGATACCCAAGACAATAAACTAGCCTGGGTACCAGTCTGTTTGTGCCATCATGCCACTTTTTGTCATGGCTTACATGACAGCATGGAGTAGGAAACAGAACAAACCAGTGGTCATCGACTGGTCGATCTTCAAGGCATTCATAGTCGATCACCAAGCATTTCTGTAGAAAAGCCAAGGATTTAAAAACCAAAATTGCGCTGTTGGCGGTAGGTGCACTTGATTCAGAAGCCCTGCGCACCGGGTAAGCAAAGTGTTCCCATTTTGGACTACTTCATTTGTCTGAAAAGACTAACTCTGCCTACCCGGCGGACCGGAAGATCTGTGGCTAAATCGAGTGTGCCTACTGCACTGGCCAATCGGATAGCTCAAATCACCGTGCCTACAGCTTCCACGACCCCAGCCAAAGCAAAGTTTGATACTAGACTATGTGACATTTCATAACTTTTAAAACCATGACCAGAGAAACTGTCAAAGAATACAGCAAAGAGCTACACTTTTTATGAGTGAGTTCATGTTTAAGTTTATATTCAGCACTGTCAACACTGTTTTTATTCAACACTATCACAAAACATAAAACTCTCCCTACTTCCAATTGCGCTGCCGCTGCAATGAATGAGTAGCCAAGTGTATCGATAGCCCTGCATTTGTATTATTATTAGCAGCTCGTCGTGTCTATTTTAATATCGAGGAATATTTCAATTTCTCTGGTCATAGGAAAAACAATTTGTGAATGAGGCAGATGCAGATGCGATTGTGGTGCGACTCGAGTTTCGCCATCAGATGCAAGACTGTGTCCCTTCTCTCTGGTCAATCTCACAACAGGAAAGGTAGGAGACAGGGACCGTGAGAGGTGGACCTTCTGCTCCTCTCTCCCTCCCTCCGCTGAGATGAATGCAGTCTTCAAAACAACTGGGAATTCGCATATCTCAGACTTCCGACTTCAGTGCGTTCAAGACAACTGGGAACTCTAAAAAAACGAGACCCGACTGGGAAAAATCGTTTTGAACGGTTGTCCAACTCGGAATTCCAAGTCGGAAACTCTGGCATCTTTCTAGACCTACGACTTTACTACCTGAAAATCACTAACGTCATCATTCCTACAGAACTGTTTTTATTAGGTTAATGTAAAAAAAATTAAGTCATTATTTTTTATTTTTTATGAGCGGTAGATCTCAGCTTGCTTTATCGACTGTGAAAGTGATCTTGACTAAGAAAAGTTTGGTGACCACTGGCACAAACAGATCTTGAACCAGGCTAGTGATAAACCATCAACAGTTTCAGAACTCTTTACCTTAGGTAAGTCCCGTAGAGGAAGAACAGGCTCATCATTACCCCATTAAGCACGAAGACACAGGACACATAGAAGTAGGCAGCATCCCCCATGCCTAGAAATGGGAGAAAATGATATTCATGGTGGTTGTCAATTTACTGTGCCTTCCAGTCCTGACAGTGTGACACACTTTGTTACTACAGGATGCTATTTACAATGCAGTTATGTTCTAGGAGTAGTTGCACCTTCACAGCTCTCTACTGGATTCAGTCCATCTCCTCTGTTGACATTCCAACATGCCTTGGTGGGGATTCCAAAGAAGTCCATGGTGCCAGTGTAAATCCTGAACAGGCTGCCGAGGAAAATATCAACAGAGAGGGGGTCACTGGAATACACACTCTGTAACAAAGATACATTAGAAGAACAATACAATATTTTTGATGTTCACTGCACTGCCAAATTAAATGATAGCCATTGTTTATCCTTTGTCTTTGTTTGGTGAAAGAAAAAAAATATCTGCAGTTGCATATTTACAAAATGATAAAATCTTGCTTGCAAAATAATATGAGATGGTTCCAACTCCTACAGTACCTCTGGGTACTGATGGAACCTCTTCAGAGCATTGATCACAAGAGGGTACTCAGAGAACCTGTCATTCATGATCAGGTGGAGCCCATGCAAATAGGATGGCGCTTTGATGAAGACCTTGAAATAGGAATAATACAGACCCTGCAAAATAAAACCAACATGTGAGTGAACTGGATGCTGAAATTGCAGATAGGCCTACTTTTGCAACAATGTCTCCATTTGTTCAGTAACATAGGATGTCAAATCTAAAGCCCTCTCGGGATGGCAGACGTGAAGCATTGAGGAACAGGAGGGAAATTAGTTAAATGTAAGTTACAATTGGCCCATCTCAACATTCCTCTTACCATTTCAGTGCGGAAAGCCATTTCTTTTTCAATTGAAGATAGGTGTGAAAAGTGTCTGTCATTTTCAAAGAGGTTTGTTAGATGAACCATAAACAAACAAAAATTCTGACATCGCATCAATCAGCAAGGGGAAGTGTCTGCCTGAATGACTCACTGACTTACTGAAGCATAGGACTCATCCATTAGACCAGAGGTTCCCAAACTTTTTCACTAGGGGCCCCCCTTCCAGCATTGGGGAACATCCCCCATCGCCCGCCCTGCCTATTTCTGTGGGCACAGTCACTGTTCATGACACAAACTGTTCACACCCTTCTTGTTGGTGGAGAGAATTTTGCAGGTTTAAAGCTTATTTCCTGCAATTCTACACATTTACCCCCAAGCCATAAGACTCCTGAACAGCTAATCATGGCTACCCAGACTATTTGTATTGCTGGACTGATGATTGAGCTGGACTGATGCTTGAGCTGGACTGATGCTTGAGCTGGACTGATGCTTGAGCTGGAGCATTTCTCAGATGCTCACGACCGTTACCATTTATTTTGATATGATTCAAACCCCAAGGTTACGTTTTAACCGATGTTCACATTAAGCGCCAAATACAACACAACAAATAGGATTTAGGGTACTTTAAAACAGATTGCTTGAACCAAGCCAGTCCTACAAGTTTATATTAAATACAATATTACACTGATTATACAGTTTAACAAATATTGCAACTATACAGACACTACATACTTGATCATTCTTTCACACAGAAATAGGGCTAATTCTCATGGTATTAAACAGATAATATTACAGGGGTCAATGTTCTCTGTCTTCTTATAACAACTTACAAGTCATACTTTCCTATTCTACAACGACTGAGAAGATTTTTCTGAAGAATATTTAGATCATTTAGATCCGAGAAGATTGTTCTGAAGAATATTTAGATCTCATGATTTTGAACGTTTCAAATGATGTTCTTTTTCCGCAAAGTGTCATTTTGTTGTTCACTTCAAAACCAGTTCAAAGCCTTTTTTGTCTGCGTGGCTGAGTGACCACTTAGTTCTTCTGTAGTGCCCGGTGATCCGGTAGATGTACAATGTGTAGACATAGGGGTGAACTCGCTGGGCATACTAAGAGAGTGTATTCAGTCCAGTCAGTAGTGCCGTTCTGACTCCCATGGCTCATTGGCTCAGTTGGCAGCATTGGGCGGCCCCTCAGGTATAAGAGACATGAAGAACGTGACAATAAAAGCCCAGGTTGTGGAGAGGAAGCCAGCATGGGGAATACCATTGGGATCCTCCGGTCCTTCCTCTCCACTGTCCCCATCGTCTTCCCCTAAGCCTTCATCCATCACCCACTCCTGTGTAGGTCAAACATGGCAACATGGAAATTAGCCATTGCACAGAAACTGTAAAACTGGATAGATTTTTTTCCCCTCTTACAATTGTAATCATTTACCATAGCAATACCATATTATGTTACCAGACAAGCATTACATAAATCATGCATCACTGCTATTGCAAATTAAATTACTGTATAATTGAAGGAGTTATCTGTCCTGACATTCAGAAGCACTTAAACTAGAGGTTAAAGATCAGAGGTTACAGATTACCTACCGTCTCTTGGAGGTCATGATGAAGGTCGGCCTCCATCTCGTCCTGGTGGGGCCCGTCCCCAGGGTTCTGAAGTTCATTCTCCAGGTTAAAGGGGAACCACCCTGCTTGGTGCCTAACGTAAACACAGAGAAACAGCCAATAACAAACCCTGTGATACATAATGGGTGACCGTTCACAACACATTTGTTGGGTCAAAGACCCAAGAAGACCCGGATAAAAAGGTATAGGTTTAATAGAAAGGATTCAGAACAATCTCACTTTCCATTTACACAATTTGTACAAATACACTGAGTATACCAAACATTTGGAACACCTTGCTAATATTGAGTTGCACCCCCCCCTTTTGCCCTCAGAACAGTCTCAATTAATCGGGGCATGGACTCTACAAGGTGTCAAAAGCGTTCCACAGGGATGCTGGCCCATGTTGACTCCAATGCTTCCCACAGTTGTGTCAAATTGGCTGGATGTCCTTTGGGTGGTGGAACATTCTTGATACACTCTGGAAACTGTTGTGCATGAAAAACCCAGCAGCGTTGCAGTTCTTGACAAAATTGGTGCGCCTGGCACCTACTACCATACCCCATTCAAAGGCACTTCGATTTTTTGTCTTGCCCATTCACCCTATGAATGGCACACATACATAATCCATGTCTCAATTGTCTCAAGGCTTAAAAATCATTTTTTTACCTGTCTCCCCCCATTCATCTACACTGATTGAAGTGGATTTAACAGGTGACATCAATAAGGGATCATAGCTTTCACCTGGATTCACTTGGTCAGTCTGTCATGGAAAGATCCTGGTCCCAGAGCTGTATAGCTATCTCTATGTATATTGGCAAGACAGCACATACAGAGAGCTCTGGGGCCAGTCTAGTATGTCACCTCTAAGAGGGACACGTAGTATTCATTTGACAGGGTGCAGGGGAATACTCACAGGTATAGCAGCAACATGGCGCCCATCACCATGACAAAGCGGCTAAACGATGAGTAAAAGTAGACTATGCTGAGCAAGATGGCGGTGCGTGACACAGTGTACACCCAGTCCAGCCAATCACGGTTCTGCTCCTCCTCGTTCAGCAGTGCCTCTGCTCCCTGGGCGTTCAATTGGATGTCGGGATCGCCACGGTGCTCCTCCGGGGGAGGCGGGTTCAGATGATCTGATTGGCCAGGCTGGGCCGAGAGCAGGTCAGGCCTGAGATGGTGAGATGAGGCAGCCAACATCTGACTGAAGGGCGAGGGAGAGAGACAGACAGAGAAAGGAGTGAGAAATGGATGTAAACATAAACTGGATCAGTAGCTAGGTTTCCATCTAACTGTCGAGAGAATGTGAATACGCTAAAATCCACATAAAAACAATATTTGTGTATGAAGGTGTTTCCACCACCATTTATCACACTATTCATTTTCACAAAGCAAAAAGATCCCACCATGTCGAACAAACACATTTTCTGTCAACAATTATGAAATTGTACCGACACTTCCTCTTTCCATCAGCATGGTCTTGACTTTTGACCATGTCGAACAAACACATTTTCTGTCAACAATTATGAAATTGTACCGACACTTCCTCTTTCCATCAGCATGGTCTTGACTTTTTTCATGCGTCAGGTAACTCATTCACCTCATTCACTTAAGTTAGTTTTATATAGAGATCATCTGAAATTGAGATTATTGTGATTGAATCTCAATGATTGCATGACACAGCATGGGTAATTGAGCATATTGTCACACAGTTATTGGGAGACAGCAGACTTACTAGTGCATGTAGTATTGCTGGGTGTACACCTGCTGCCACCACAGCAGTGTCATGGGATTGTACTGTATGCCAGGGTAGGCTGGCATGTTGGTGGGAGGGCCTTGCTGTGGAGGGAACTGGTTCCACATATAGCTGCAAGATAAGTACACAGTTACGGGGTAAGGAGTTTGGGCATTACCAGTAGACAACAAGCTCATTAACACATACAAACACACAGAAATCTATTAGAAAGTGAGAGCTCTCAACAGTAGTACACTTCTTGGCCAATCATAACGTGTGTCCAGAACTAACCGTGCTGGTGTATAAGGGCTTACCCTTGCATAAAGGCAGGGTGTGCTGCATGGTTAGGGGCGGGGCCTGTACGATGTCTCAGCCCGTCAGAGCTCTCTCCAATGGAGGTTGATTGGCCATCTTGGCTAGGGGAAGGGACACTGGGGCTCTGACCCATCTGAGAAAACAGACAAATACGTTTTGATTATTTTACTTCTCTGACTCCACTTAAAGTTGACTGACCACAAACATTTCATTCATCAGGAGCTGTGTGGATTACAATATAGAGTAGACCTAGGATAGCCTTGTTCCAGGTCTGTTTGTGCTCATGTCAACTCTTTAGCTCATTCTCATTTTGGCATGATAGCACAAACAGACTGGCACGCAGGCTAGCTCTAGGTGTGCTGGGATGATGAAATGAGTGGCAATAAATGGAGCAGTACGGTGGGTGTTGCATGCATACCGGTAACTCACCGTGGAGCTAGTAGAGGGGACTCCAGGGGCCTTGTTACTGTGGCTGCTGAGGAGCTTGGGGGACCCAGGAGGGGTGTGTGATGCACACACCAGGTGGACCATGTGGTACTCATCCTGCTGTAAGAGTCATCCGTGGCCATTAGCAAGGACAGCCACACTATTGCGTTAACAAAGTACAATAAGAATGAGATCTAGGATGAATGCATACGTTGCCGTAATCTCTGAACAGAATATCATGTGAAAATGAAATACACTGCTCAAAAAAATAAAGGGAACACTAAAATAACACATCCTAGATCTGAATGAATGAAATAATCTTATTAAATACTTTTTTTCTTTACATAGTTGAATGTGCTGTCAACAAAATCACACAAAAATTATCAATGGAAATCAAATGTATCAACCCATGGAGGTCTGGATTTGGAGTCACCCTCAAAATTAAAGTGGAAAACCACACTAAAGGCTGATCCAACTTTGATGTAATGTCCTTAAAACAAGTCAAGATGAGGCTCAGTAGTGTGTGTGGCCTCCACGTGCCTGTATGAACTCCCTACAATGCCTGGGCATGCTCCTGATGAGTTGGCGGATGGTCTCCTGAGGGATCTCCTCCCAGACCTGGACTAAAGCATCCGCCAACTCCTGGACAGTCTGTGGTGCAACGTGGCGTTGGTGGATGGAGCGAGACATGATGTCCCAGATGTGCTCAATTGGATTCAGGTCTGGGGAACGGGCGGACCAGTCCATAGCATCAATGCCTTCCTCTTGCAGGAACTGCTGACACACTCCAGCCACATGAGGTCTAGCATTGTCTTGCATTAGGAGGAACCCAGGGCCAACCGCACCAGCATATGGTCTCACAAGGGGTCTGAGGATCTCATCTCGGTACCTAATGGCAGTCAGGCTACCTCTGGTGAGCACATGGAGGGCTGTGCGGCCCCCCAAAGAAATGCCACCCCACACCATGACTGACCCACCGCCAAACCGGTCATGCTGGAGGATGTTGCAGGCAGCAGAACGTTCTCCACGGCGTCTCCAGACTCTGTCACGTCTGTCACATGTGCTCAGTGTGAACCTGCTTTCATCTGTGAAGAGCACAGGGCGCCAGTGGCGAATTTACCAATCTTGATGTTCTCTGGCAAATGCCAAACGTCCTGCACGGTGTTGGGCTATAAGCACAACCCCCACCTGTGGACATCGGGCCCTCATACCACCCTCATGGAGTCTGTTTCTGACCGTTTGAGCAGACACATGCACATTTGTGGCCTGCTGGAGGTCAGGGCTCTGGCAGTGCTATTCCTGCTCCTCCTTGCACAAAGGCGGAGGTAGCAGTCCTGCTGCTGGGTTGTTGCCCTCCTATGGCCTCCTCCACGTCTCCTGATGTACTGGCCTGTCTCCTGGTAGCACCTCCATGCTCTGGACACTACGCTGACAGACACAGCAAACCTTCTTGCCACAGCTCGCATTGATGTGCCATCCTGGATGAGCTGCACTACCTGAGCCACTTGTGTGGGTTGTAGACTCCGTCTCATGCTACCACTAGAGTGAAAGCACCGCCAGCATTCAAAAGTGACCAAAACATCAGCCAGGAAGCATAGGAACTGAGAAGTGGTCTGTGGTCACCACCTGCAAAACCAGTCCTTTATTGGGGGTGTCATGCTAATTGCCTATAATGTCCACCTGTTGTCTATTCCATTTGCACAACAGCATGTGAAATGTATTGTCAATCAGTGTTGCTTCCTAAGTGGACAGTTTGATTTCACAGAAGTGTGATTGACTTGGAGTTACATTGTGTTGTTTAAGTGTTCCCTTTATTTTTTTGAGCAGTGTATAAGAAAATGAATGCAGCAGACAGACCTTTCTGAGCACATCTTTCAGTGTTAAGTGATCCAAGAGGAGCTTCCCAGAATACACCAGCCTCTGGTCTTTGGAGCTCTACAATAAAAATCAGACAGTTCAGAATATAGAACAGCTTATTTATGATCCTGCTGCTCATCTATGAACGTTTGAACGCCTTGAAAAACAATTTGGACTTAATGACCACATGTACTCTTAAATTTCTTCTCAGTACAGCCAGAAGAGGACTTGCCACCCTTCGAAGCCTGGTTCCTCACTAGGTTTCTTCCTAGGTTCCTGCCTTCAATCGAGTTTTTCCTAGCCACTGTGCTTCTGGCTCTGCATTGCTGGGTATCAGTAAAGCTCTTTGTGACACCTGCTGTTGTATAAAGGGGTTTATACCATACATTTGATTGATTGATAACCCCTGAAAACAGTGGTTTTCCTTTCACTTTCCTTCACTTTGGGTGAAGATTCCCTTTCACTTGCTTACATTGCATAAGAACATATAAGTAGTAGTGATTTAATTAAATAGAATATAATATTTTAGACTAGCCTCAGCTCCCAGACTGTGATGGATGAGACTTAGAAGGATGGCAACGCGAGACTAGCCTTAGACAAATGGTACTTGGAGATCACAAGATCAAAAGGTTGATCCTAAGGTAACTGGGAAGGCCCAAATACACACCACTAGCTAGTAGCTACATAGGGCAGTTTAGTTCATCAGATTGACACAGGTTTACTTCTGGATCAAAAAGGGGCTTAGATGGTGGGCGTGGCAATGAGCGCCGTCGACGGCTACATTGTAGAGAACATTTTAGAGGCCCCCATCTTGGTGCTGTATATTTTTTTTTATTCTGCACAAATCTCCATGGAGCTGAGATATTTTTTTTCTTTAGTTTTAAAGCTAATTTCAGGCGATTCTACATATTCTGCCATGGAGCCGAGAGAAAATGTTGCAGTTTTAAAGCTAGTTTCCTGCAATTCTATGCATTTTGCCATGGAAAAGGCTGTGTTATTTTGCTCAAACATAACAAAATAAATCCTGCTAAATTCATTTTATTTTATTTATTTTTTACTCTCCCACACTGCTTTTATTTTGGTGATTGTTAGTTCTCAAAGATTATTTAAAAATATATATACAGTACTGATAGATGAATTTGTATCTTTATTGTAATGACTAAAATATTCCACCCCGATACTGTATAACTGTGTGAACTGTAGGGAAGGGGACCTGGAAACTGTCAAACATAAACATTCCAACAAGGAAGGAGACCTAGAAACTGCTAAACTTAAACATTCTATACTGTGGAAAATCACAGGCCGCCTAAAGGTGGGCGGAGCAAAGTCCTTTGTGTGGACGCATATAAAAAGGCTGTGTGTGTTTTTAGCGGCAGAGCTCTCATGAATAAAGAAACTGATTCATTGCAGAAATGGGACTTTGTTTAATTAATTATTAACTAGAGTATTACAACCTCTGGGAATTATTCAAAGCTTGAGTAACAGTTGAGTTTAACTATTAGAGATAGAAATTCTCGTGACAAGTACCAGTCAAAAGTTTGGACACACCTACTCATTCCAGGGTTTTTCTTTATTTTTAGCATTTTCTACATTGTATAATAATAGTGAAGACATCAAAACTATGAAATAACACATATGGAATCATGTAGTCACTAAAAAAGTGAGATGCTTCAAAGTAGCCACCCTTTGCCTTGATGACAGCTTTGCACACTCTTGGCATTCTCTAAACAAGCTTCATGAGGTAGTCACCTGGAATGCATTTCAATTAACAGGTGTGCCTTCTTAAAAGTTAATTTATGGAATTTCTTTCCTTTTTAATGCGTTTGAGCCAATCAGTTGTGTTGTGGTCTAAGTGGTCTAAGGCACTGCATCGCAGTGCTAACTGTGCCACTAGAGATCCTGGTTCGAATCCAGGCTCTGTCGCAGCCGGCCGCGACCGGGAGACTCATGGGCGGCGCACAATTGGCCCAGCGTTGTCCAGGGTAGGGGAGGGAATGGCCGGCAGGGATGTAGCTCAGTTGATAGAGCATGGCGTTTGCAACGCCAGGGTTGTGGGTTCGATTCCCACGGGGGGCCAGTATAAAAAAAAAAAATGTATTCACTAACTGTAAGTCGCTCTGGATAAGAGCGTCTGCTAAATGACTAAAATGTAAAAATGTAAATGTAGGGATGGTATACAGAAGACAGCCCTATTTGGTAAAAGACCAAGTCCATATTATGGCAAGAACAGCTCAAATAAGCAATGAGAAACGACAGTCCATCATTACTTTAAGACATGAAGGTCAGTCAATACGGAACATTTCATGAACTTTGAACGTTTTTCAAAACCATCAAGCGCTATGATGAAATTGGCTCTCATGAGGACCGCCACAGGAAAGGAAGACCCAGAGTTACCTCTGCTGCAGAGGATAAGTTCATTACAGCTACCAGCCTCAGAAATTGCAGCCCAAATAAATGCTTCACAGTGTTCAAGTAACAGACACATCTCAACATCAACTGTTCAGAGGAGACTGCTTGAATCAGGCCTTCATGGTCGAATTGCTGCAAATAAACCACTATTAAAAGGACACCAATAAGAAGAAGAGACTAGCTTGGGCCAAGAAACACGAGCAATGAACGTTAAACCTGTGGAAATGTGTCCTTTGATCTGATGTTTAGTCATTTAAGTTTACACTTAATGTGTTTTTCCATCCCGATTTGTATTTTTTACACTGTTTGGACTTAGGCAATAAAAGGATTACAATGGTAGAAACATCCCTGTGACAGGATTAGGCTAGACATAGAAGCTGTAGTAGGGTATATGACAGCGCCGGGAAGCATAGAAATAGCATACATAGATCTACCGCTTCTTAGACTTGCTTTCAAAGAGAATGACAGATTTATAACTCACATTTCTATGTGGATTTGGTTGGACAGCCCAAAAAGTTACATATTGCAGCTTTAACAAAGAAGGCTCTGTCACCTGGTTAAAACTATTATGGTAAACAGTGATGAGATAGATGACACTAACCAGAGAAGTTGGAGAACACACAACAGACTGAGATTACCAGACAAGAGTGCTTTGTGTTTACAGTGATTACTGAGCAGGAACCGTAACGAAATCAGAGAACTAAGGAATCTCACTGCCCTCCTTCCAGCCTGACGTCAAATCTACACACATTCAAGACAATAATATTTTCAAATATAGGCTCAGCACAACCTTTCTTTATTGCTTTATCCTCCTCCCACCTCTCTTTTCCCCCTAGAGTTATTAAAGGTTATTCAACTGTGGTTTGACATTCTTTCGGATGCGGTGATGGGTTTTAAAATCGAATCTCCATTGGTAATAGGTTTTCACATCACAGATATTAGGCTATCCATTTTAGTAATATGACATAACATGAATTCAAAAGTGTTGGCCTACATTTAAACAGATGTTTATCCCGGTTAGGAAATCATCACTGTGTAGCAAAAAGCAATTGCAGGGGTACACAGGATGCAGATGCAGAAAATGTGATGGTGAATTCAGCTAAAATGAAGCTAGTTAGACTGTCAGTATTCTGCAGTCTTTTTTTCAGACAAATAAATTAGGTCAATAAACACATAACACTGTTTATAAACCTATACTACTAAGTGAATCATTCACATCAAAGCAAACCGAGCTAGGTTCTGTTTCTCTCTCCAACTAATAGGATTAAGCATACACACATTGAAAAACATTCACTTAAACAAAGGCTTCAATTCAAATTAGTATTGGACTACTAGGCTATATAACCTACTTATAGCCTACTCCTGCATCAGGTCACATAGCATCCAGTCACTTACAGTTGAAGTCGGAAGTTTACATACACCTTAGCCAAATACATTTAAACTCAATTTTTCACAATTCCTGACATTTAATCCTAGTAAATCCCAGTTAGGATCACCACTTTATTTTAAGAATGTGTAATGTCAGAATAATTATTTATTTCAGCTTTTATTTCTTTCATCACATTCCCAGTGGGTCAGAAGTTTACATACACTCAATTAGTATTTGGTAGCATTGCCTTTAAATTGTTCAACTTGGGTCAAACGTTTCAGGTAGTCTTTCACAAGCTTCCAACAACAAGTTGTGTGAATTTTGGCCCATTCCTCCTGACAGGCTGGTGTAACTGAGTCAGGTTTGTAGGCCTCCTTGCTCACACACGCTTTTTCAGTTCTGCCCACAAATGTTCTATAGGATTGAGGTCAGGGCTTTGTGATGGCCACTCCAATACCTTGACTTTGTTGTCCTTAAGCCATTTTGCCACAACTTTGGAAGTATGCTTGGGGTCATTGTCCATTTGGAAGACCCATTTGCGACCTAGCTTTAACTTCCTGACTGATGTCTTGAGATGTTGCTTCAATATATCCACATCATTTTCTTTCCTCATGATGCCATCTATTTTGTGAAGTGCACCAGTCCCTCATGCAGCAAAGCACCCCCACAGCATGATGCTGGCACCCCCGTGCTTCACGGTTGGGATGGTGTTCTTTGGCTTTCAAGTGCGTCTCCTTCCTGAGCGGTATGACGGCTGCGTGGTCCCATGGTGTTTATACTTGCGTACTATTGTTTGTATAGATGAACGTGGTACCTTCAGGCGTTTGGAAGGATGAACCAGACTTGTGGAGGTCTACAATTTTGATGTCAAGCAAAGAGGCACTGCGTTTGAAGGTAGGCCTTGAAATACATCCACAAGTACACCTCCAATTGACTCAAATTATGTCAATTAGCCTATCAGAAGCCTCTAAAGCCATGACATCATTTTCTGGAATTTTCCAAACTGTTTAAAGGCACAGTCAACTTAGTGTATGTAAACTTCTGACCCATTGGAATTGTGATTCAGTGAATTGTAAGTGAAATAATCTGTCTGTAAACAATTGTTGGAAAAATTACTTGTTTCATGCATTACTTGTGTCCTAACCGCCTTGACAAAACTATAGTTTGTTAATAAGACATTTGTGGAGTGGTTGAAAAACGAGTTTTAATGACTCCAACCTAAGGATGTCTCTGTAGTACAGAGAATCCTCAATGATGGCTGCTGTAATTGTTCATCCAAATGCAGCCCTGGAAACTTGAGGGAGAAGTAGACCTAACCCACTGGGCACAGACTTCAGTTCAACATCTAGTTTTGATTTACATTTGGTTGAGTTATCAACTAAAATGAATTCAATGTGAAATCAACAAAACATTTTACCATGTCATTGGATTTAGGTTAAAACTTGAGTGAAAAAACTCCTAAATGCCCTTACATTGATTACTTTTTGCAAATCCAATTCATCTTCCACGTTAATGAAAAGTAATCAAATAGATTTGGGGGGGATGAAATGACATGAAAATTACATGGAAACAACGTTGATTCAACCAGTTTTTGCCCAGTGGGAAGTCAGTAGCAGTTTGACATTTGTGCTACTTATAGTCTGCCTTTATAATGTTTCAGGGATAGGGACAAGTTGTCCCAGATGGCTGTAACCTCCAAACTTAAAATGCCAATCATCAGGGAGGTGCATTTCAGAATAAAGACATCCCACAGAGTGGACATGGCTCTATGCTCTATTTTATTTAATCTATTATGCAATATATTTCTGAATGTTTATATATACACATCATTGATCTGAACAGACCTCAAGGGAAATGAAAACTGAGACCAAACTCACTGTACGTAAGCGATAACCTACTCACCGGTTTACTGGGATATACATGTGAGATATGGGTTTTTAGTTTATCCACTGTCCAGTTCAGGAAGCAGTTGATGGTCTGGTCATCATACTTCTGGTTGGGTGCCTTGATGACAACGATAACAGGACTGCCGGCAACACCCTGGTCCATGTTTTACACCATCTGTTAGTGTCCTCTTACGGTGCCTTGCACATAGCCCAGATTTGTTGGGCTGGAACAACAGAATGGTCTCTTCCAATGCGGAGGACTACTAAATGTCTTTACCCACCTTAGCTTCCAGCGACTGAACTTTGCCTTGATCACCTTTAAAGCTCAGTTACAAGTCCTTGAATATAATCTGAATATCCGACCGGTTGTTGTTGTTGGCCTGCTAACTACCCGCTAGCTAACAGAAAGCGGAAATACGTAATCGTGTCCGAAACAGCTATTCCTCCCACATCCGGAACTCGTATAGTCGAATGGTCCGTGCTAATTGGAATCCTTGGGGCGTCCATACCCCATTGAAGTTTACATTTACAATGTGTTAAGGTTAGGGGCTACGTGTTTAGAACTCTTGCATGGTGGTGGTTGGGAGGAAATGGCGACTGTGCTTGAATCTGAAAGTGCGGCAAGAGAAGTGTGTGACAATGAATGGAAAATAGTGAAATCAAAGAATGGAACAAAACGAGCAAAAGTTTTAAAGGTCCGGTCCAATAATGCATGTGTTATTGGACTACGTTTTTTGGACAAGGAGATTCATTTGGGAAATCCATTTGTAATATCGAGGACTGAAGAAAGCAGTGGGAAAGGTGGATTCATTCAAGGTGACCTTATTTTGGTTAATTGTGTTGATGAAGAACAGAACAAGCATGCACTGGATCTGCCAAAATTGTCCACGTCAGAAAGAGTGGCGATTTTAACATGTCAATCTTGGTGGGGCAAACAAAAAATGTTGGGGATGCATGGCAGCAAAGCCACAACACGAAACAATACATTAATTGCACTATAACGGTGGCAAACTGCCCACAAACTGTTAGGGCCTACATAAAGCTGTCCCAACAGCAGTCCCAACACCTTAGCACTGCTACACCTGGCTATCAGGGGAGCCTTGTCTGGCAGCAAAATAGTTCATTCAGCCTCATTTACTGCCTTTAAAAAAAAACATAGCTGATATGGCTGACTTGCTTAAACAAATGTGGTTTCTACTGACATGTACAAACTATGGCATAAGGGGACAACAAGCAGAAAGAGGCTATCCGTAATTTCGATTAAGACATTAATGAGCGAGCTAAAACGGACGTAGTCAATATAACTATTTGTTTAGCACTTTTGAAATGTACAGCGATAGAATTCAGAACATGGGCCATTCTTACAGTGTTCTCCCTGTACACCAAGTCAGAACCGCAGGATAAATAAAGGGGGCATATAAGCGGACAATGAAAGCTCTTACAATATTCGATGATTACATTTCTCTAAAACAGGTTATAGGCTACATGTGCACCACCAAGTCAAAACAGTAGGTGAAGAGGGGAAAATAGACCACATTATTAGGGTGAGGCACATGGGCTACTAACAGCTTACTGCACAACATACACTTAGTATTACTTTCTTAGATACAGTATACATATCTCCCTGGAATAGTACATCATTTATGCAGCAGCATACAATACATTTTTGGACTCACCTTGTTGTGCTGTGCTCACTTGAACAGGAAGGTGTCGCAAATTTTGTCAACTTTGTCATCTAAGTCTGGTATTCTCTGGATTTATGGTGCTTTCAAGACAACTGGGAACTCTGAAAAAAGCAAGGTTGAATCATGATGACATCAGTGATCTTCAGGTTGTAGCTCTAGAAAGAGGCCCGAGTTCCCGACTTACAATTCCGAGTTGGATGACCGTTCAAAACGTATTTTCCCAGTCGGAGCTCGTTTTTCCCAAGTTTCCAGTTATCTTGAACTCACTGAAGTCAGATTTCCCAGTTCCGAGTTAACAGTTGTTTTGACCGCGGCAGAAATCATGCTGAATTGACAGCATGGCCAATGTTGAATGTTTATCATTTTAAGCTTGAAAAAGAGACCCTTAAACCCAGAATTGGGACCACACACCCACTCCCCTGAAGAGCAGGCTAGTGATTGCTTTGCAATGCATGCAGTTAGAGTGGCTTGCGGAAGTATTCACCCCCCTTGGCATTTTTCCTATTTTGTTGCCTTACAACCTGGAATTAAAATTGATTTTTGGGGGGTTTGTATCATTTGAACACGGTGGCCTCCATCATACGTAAATGGAAGAAGTTTGGAACCACCAAGACTCTTTCTAGAGCTGACCGCCCGGCCAAACTGAGCAATCGGGGGAGAAGGGCCTTGGTCAGGGAGGTGACCAAGAACCCGATGGTCACTCTGACAGAGCTTGAGAGTTCCTCTGTGGAGATGGGAGAACCTTCCAGAAGGACAACCATCTCTGCAGCAGTCGACCAATCAGGCCTTTACGGTAGAGTGGCCAGACGGAAGCCACTCCTCAGTAAAAGGCACATGACAGCCCGCTTGGAGTTTGCCAAAAGGCACCTAAAGACTCTCAGACCATGAGAAACAAGATTCACTGGTCTGATGAAACCAAGATTAAACTCTTTGGACTGAATGCCAAGTGTCACGTCTGGAGGAAACCTGGCACCATCCCTATGGTGAAGCATGGTGGTGGCAGAATGCTGTGGGGATGTTTTTCAGCGACAGGGACTGGGAGACTAGTCAGGATCGAGGCAAAGATGAACGGAACAAAGTACAGAGAGATCCTTGATGAAAACCTACTACAGAGTGCTCAGGACCTCCGACTGGGGCGAAGGTTCACCTTCATACAGGTGTCCTTGAGTGGCCCAGCCAGAGCCCAGTCTTGAACCCAATCTAACATTTCTGGAGAGACCTGAAAATAGCTGTGCAGCGACGCTCCACATCCAACCTGACAGAGCTTGAGAGGATCTGCAGAGAAGAATGGGGAAAAACTCCCCAAATACTGGTGTGCCAAGCTTGTAGCGTCATACCCAAGAAGTCGCAAGGCTGTAATCGCTGCCAAAGTACTGAGTAAAGGGTCTGAATAAATGTGGTATTTTCATTTTTTATTTTTAATACATTTGCAATGTATTTTATTTTTTTTACTGTTTTTGCTATATCATTATGGGATATTGTGTGTAGATTAATGAGGGGGGGTGGAAACTATTTAATCCATTTTTGAATAAGGCTGTAACATAACAATGTGGAAAAGTTAAGGGGTCTGAATACTTTCCGAATACACTGTATACTCCAGTCTAGTAGGTGGTGGCAATGCAACATTTATTGGATGCCAACCTCTGTTAAACCTCATCGAAGAGGAAGTTATGGTTAGGTAACGGTTAAGGGTAGGGACTTGGCAAGGATCATGGATAGCACTGATCATAATCAAATCAAGAATCACGTGAAACGAGTCTGAAAAACAGTAACATTTAGTTAGAAATGTTGTATGCTTGTATTTGTCTCTCTCTGTATTACATTTAGTTTACCTGAAACTAGCCAACTAAACTGTTGCAGTTCGATTACATAAAAGGACAGCTTGAAAGACTGCTAAATGAACGCTAAATTAAGAGTTACAGGTGTTTCAAAATGCTCCTTTTATGTAATCGAACTGCAACAGTGCTTTCCAACTCTATATTGCTATAGAATTTTCACAAATGCCTTACTATACGTAAATCCCAAACATTCTAAGAATGTATGAAAACGTGAAAATGACCATATGTAAGTGCTCACTTGTCAGAAAATGTTTAAAAAGGTGTCATTCTTCCTGGGGGTGTATATGAACAGATTTTAATAAGATTGCATGTTGCTAAAATGCTGTCAGTTCTACTTTAATGTATGTCTCTTCTCCAGGAGAGGGCGTAATCATTCTATGGGGGGGTATTTGATCTAACTTTTGAGGTATGACGTGCTATGTGAACCTAGTTGGATATTAAATATTACCCATCTAAGAGAGAAGTTGTTCACCTCATCCTTATATCCACATCCTACATACCCATAAAACCTAGCAGTCAAATACGGAAATGGTTCCAATCGTTTTTTAACCATTCATTTTTTGCATCGTGAATTTTACAAACTAATATATGTGTGGTGTAGGCTTACCTTGGCTTGAATGTTTTGATAACCGTGGCATTCTCTTTTAGACAAGGTGAGGTTTATCAATACATTTGCCTAAATTTACTCTCAGAAATGCCCATTAGCAACAGAGACCTCAGCAAGACTACAAATTCCTGCAGGACGTTCCTGCACGTCATCTCTAGCTGGCAGTATCAGCCACCGTTCACCAGCGCGTTCAGAGACCGGTGCCCAATCCATGATGAATCCATGTGGTGTATTGAAATTAATTGAATAAAGTGTTGAACTTCTTCAGTCCCTTTCTCTGTCTTAGCTAGCCACTGACTACACTTTAGTTAGCAGAGCAGTAGATCAAAACATCATTTTGTATTACTTAACCTAGGATATTTGTTTGTACATTAGGTTGACTTTGGTGTCTATTTCAAACATTATGGCATTTTCAAGGATGAGCACATGAGTATTAAAAGGGGAGAAGATCACTATAAGTCTGGTCATGTGGAGAAGTGCAGCTATAGTGAGGGGCAACTATCGGTTTGGTCAGGGCCAGCATGAGGAATAAAGTTTATCCTGTGTCGGTGAGTGTAGCTATTAAGTTAAGTTTGAGCATCTTAGCAATACAATGTGTTCGATACAGCTTTCAACATTCTACAAGGAAAGCGCCACTTAATCAATTATATAATCATTAACCAGATTACCCCGGATACCAGACTTAGATGAGTGATAACTCATGTTGTCATTGATGAGAATGTTTAGACATCCAGTCTGTATTATAGTTGCATGACCAGAGACAAATCTTTGAAGGAAGACTCGTATTGCTGGACTAGAGGAGTTTTTCAAGGACCAAAGTTGGCACTGCAACAAAGTTTATTCCAATCTGTTTTTTTTTTTTTGTTTTTTTTTGGGGGGGGGGGGGGGGGGGGAATAGGTTATATTACATACAAGTTTTGCTCAAAGCAGCCAACTAAAGTAATGTATTTAACTTAATTTAAACACAACACAAGTCACATTGCATTTGATCAAGGGCACAGGAAGAATTTATATCTGTGATGTTTAAATTATTTCTTACCCCCTTCGTTGTGTGGACCTTCCTTTTCTGGTAAATGCAGGGCCATTTTTCTTTCCCAACGTAAAATGGCAGCTGCCTGAGCATTTGCAATGATTAAAGTACACTGAACAAAAATTTAAACGCAACATGCAACATTTTCAAAGATTTTACTGAGTTACAGTTCATATCAGTCAATTTAAATAAACTCATTATGCCCTAATGTATGGATTTCAGATGAATGGGAATACAGATATGCATCTGTTGGTCATAGATACCTTTAAAAAAAAAGTAGGGGGTTGGATCA